TGATTTTCGTGGGTTTCAGCCCATTACCTAGCATACGCCTCTATTGGTCAACTGATATGAATTTCCATAAATCGAGAATAGCAGACATAATGCCCCTCAAGAGATTTTTGAAAATTCTCAGGTATCTACACATATCTAATGATGAAACTGCACCAAAAAAGATGATCCCTCCTTCGATAAACTATATAAAATAAAAGCCTTGATAGATCGCTTGACGACGTTGGATTATATCCGACAGGCGTCAGTGCAGGAATCTTCACCTATCTGGAAAAAATAAAATGAAAAAGATAGATGGAAGAGCTGTCAGCATCGAGAATAGTGTGAGGCTGACGAATGTTGGTGATCATATCCCGAAACACACAACATCTCGTAGATGCACGAGATGTAGTACACAGAAAAAACCAAAACGTTCAAGTGTTGAGTGTGTGGCATGTGGTCTCGCTTTGTGTATTCCCTGTTTCGCTCCATTCCACAATGAAGGATATTATTTCTTATGATTTCCTTCCCTTTCTACGATATTTACACCCTTCAAATATGGTCGAATAATCGACCATTATCCGCTGAATTTGACTGATGGTATGGGTTATAGGACCGTTGTGGTTGTGGCTTATTCGTATACACCTGCGACATAAGAAAACCCCACAAAACATATCGCTCGATCTCGGTGGCCAGTCCACATAATAATAATATATGAGCAGAGAGGGCCGAAGAGAGGAGTCGCTGGATGTAAAGAGAACCTGTTCATCGATAGATGTGTAACGCAGGACTCGATACAATATAAGCGTAACCTCTCTATGGCCTGGATCGATTACCGTAAGGCATTTGATACAATTCGTATGAGCTCATCTTGCATTTGCTCAGATGCCTTGCGGTACCCGACAACATAGTGAGATGCATTGAACAACTGATATCACTTTGGCGAACTCGCTTCATTATAACATCTGGTCAAGCAAGGGTCCAAACAGGGCGGGTCACTTTCAGAAGGAGTGTATTTCAGGGTGATTCCCTCGGTCCCCTTCTCTTCTGCATCTCACTATTGCCATTATCCGTTGCGCTCAGAAATACTCCAGGGTATAACTGTGGCACCCCCGGAAACCGGTAGGCGCAAGGTCACCCATCTGTTTTATATGGATGATCTTAAATTTTATGCCTCTGAAGATAAGATCTTCATCAGTCCTTGAGGTTGGTTGAAGAGTACACACATTCTATCGGAATGAAATTCGGGATAGACAAATGTGCAATGGTCCATCTCAAAAGAGGACGATGCGGGGACTACGGAGAGGATGTGCAGCTCGTAGATGGAAGCATCTTACACCATCTGGATGCCGATGAGACGAATACTTACCTCGGGGTGGAACAACGCCACGTTACAAGAGGTAACAGCAGTAAAAAACTCTCTCCGCGGCAAGTATCAGCACAAACTTCGACAGATCTGGTCATCGGAACTGTCGGGGAAGAACAAAGTTGCTGCAACAAATATGCTTGCCGTTCCAATCTTACTCTACTCGTTTGGAGTAGGGAAGTGGACTCGGGAGGAGCTGAATCAACTCAACGTAACGACCCGAAAAAATATTCATCTCTATAGGAGTTTGCATCCCAAATCGTCCGTTCCACGGTTGTACTTCCCCCGACAACAGGGAGGCCGTGGACTTTCGAGTTTGGAGTGTTTACATGACATAATGGTACTGGATACAGCCTGTAAAGTCGTCAGGAGTTCAGATCTCCTTCTCTGCATGGTCCGTGACCATGAGAGAGCAGGAATTGGAGCATTTCTCTTTAGGGCAGCTGCCCGAGCAGCTAATGAACTCGGTATGGTTTTCGACACTGAACGAGGTGACCACAAATCTGTCGCCGAGTTGGAACCCGTTCAGCAAAAAGCTCAGATAGAAGCCACAGAGATCACCTTACTTCTGCGGAAACACAAGGACAAGCCACTGCATGGGGTCTTCTTCAATAACATTGGAGACCTTGGCTCATCAAAGCGCCTGACATTCGCTTTTCTCAGGTGGAGTGGGCTGAAATCGGAAACTGAGGGGTTCATCATGGCTTGCCAGGATTGTGTCTTCAACACCTTAGTCTACCGCAGTCGCGTGATGGGTATATAAGTGCCTGACACAAGGTGCAGGGTCTGCCGCGAGGCGTCCGAGACCCTAATGTACTTGCTATCGGCATGTCCAGCATATGCGGTCTCGGCCTATATCCATCGACATAACGCGGCCCAAAGAGTGATATATTACCATCTACGGCACTCTTACGGTATTGACGAGACACCGGTGTTGCCCTACGCTCCGGGGGATATTGAATCCGTTGTGGGGAACGAGAAGTGCCGAATTTATTGGAAATATTCGTTCCCCACCCTCAGGCTCATACAAGCTAATAAGCCTGATGTAGTCCTTCTCGACCACCAGAGCAAAACGATATTTGTCGCGGAGTTTTCAGCTCCTGGCGAGACAAATATCGTCAGAAAAGTGGAGAAAAAAAGGATAAAATATCGAGATTTTCGCTTCGAACTCTGCAGACTCTATCCAGATCACTCTTGTCAAAATGGTTGTTCTAATTATTGGAGTCATTGGTGGAATGCTGTCCTCTCTACTCTCAAATCTTAAAAACATACCGGCTTGCCGCACTAAGGCAGCAATCTTAGCCGCACAGATGCAGAAGGCTGTCCTTCTTGGCTCACTGCACTTGCTCACAGCACATGATTCTCGGACCCAATGATCACTTACCCCACGGTGTGGGGAGTGGTCATTGGTGGATAATGCTGGCGCACCCTCCTGAATGTATCGGGTCTTCGAGGGGTTGGGCCTGACCAGCGCACACTACGGTGAAAATAGTAATAATAGGTTTTTATTCCCATAATGATACAATAAATAAATGTGAGCATTTACTGAAACGGGAAAGGCTGAAAATCAGTTGGTTGCATCAAAAGATGCAACCTCTGTTTTTCAACTTCACGTGAGTTGACCATGCCCTCATGCTCGTACAGAATATCCAATGAGGCATGAGCTTTGTGCACGTAGCGCTGTTCTGTTGAAACCACATGTCGTTGGCGTCCAAAAGAAGTTGGTAATCATCGACCTATAATGCTCGCCGTTGACAGTGATGGCCTGGCCAACGTCGTTTTCGAAGAAATATGGAACGATGACGACGCCAGCCCAAAATCCACACCAAACAGAAACATTTTCGGGATGCATTGGACGCTCTTGGATCTCATGTGGATTGGTATCGCTTCTCATCCAGAAATGAGTCTCATCGCTGAAGATGATTTTTCGATGAAAATTACCGCCCTCTATCTCAAAAACGATTGAACGCATGAAAAAAAGGTTCAAATAAAATTTATCCTAAATTGTATGCTTTCCAATTTTTATTATAGCTGTTAACATCATTGGAGCAACAGAAACTGAAATAACCGCAAAAAAGCAAAAAACTTTTTTTTACCTTTGACCTCGTATAACTTCCGGTACAGACACGAGATTATATGAGACTTTTGAGACAGCTTTTAGAACGACATAATAAAGGTATATACAAATATTTAGCTTATTACCTCTCATTCCGAGGTTAACCCCTTTTATTTGCTAAAGTGACTGGTCTAATAGTCCTCTCGGTAGTATGATTATGGCGACCGTAAAATGGGTGAAGCGTGCGGTACGTTGCCCGAACAGAACACACATTCTGATAAAACAATTTTATTATTTGCACGTGTTGTTGAATGCTATATCCGTCCATGGTGATTTGGCAAAACAGGCAGAATGAATGACGACTAATTTGACAGATTTAGCTTCAATAAGGTTGCCGTCATCAATTGTCAACATTCGGAAGTCCCTGTCGGAAGACCCTATATAAACGAATAAAACTGTCCTGTTCAGAAAAGAATCTCCCTCAATATATAAAAAAGCAACGTGTTATTATAGAAATATTTACTTAAATCAATACCCGACAAACAGTAAATTTTCCTATCTCCACATGGCTCATCAAATTCTTTGTAAGTATATCTATTATTCAGAGGAACTCCCTGCACGCGATCCTTGTCCCCGACGACTCGGAATATATTCAAAGGTGACGTTTTATAGTGGTAATCCTTTATTTTTCCTGTTGACGTATCAAAAATAATACGTGAATCGATACAGTACATTTGGGTTTTAATGGCCTTCAATTCGGTGTTCTGCATTACTCTGATTTCTCAATTGAATAATAGCAACAAAATACATGAATACATAATAGCAACAAAATACATGAATGGCAAATGAAGTAATCGGAAACAGATTTCAATTTTTGTTTCTTATTCGAAATCAAAAACCTTTGAAGAGGGAACACAATTATTAATACTGTTTAAACAATATATTTTTGATTGACTTGGCCGTTACTTGATGAGATCCATAGTAATTTCATAGACTACACCTAATTTCGAAAAAAAAGTTAATTTTGATAAGAATTAACTTTCAGTATGTTATTCACAACGAAAAAGCTACTGTAATAATATATGTGAAACATTTTTGAAAATAAAGTTTGTGATGATCAAATTAATGAATCGCCAAATTAATAATTTGGCGATTCATCAGTTGAAAATATATTATTCAACGAGAATAAACAACTACTCCACGAAGTTCTTACAAATTGGTGACATAAAACGGTTGAGTTTCAAACTGATGTCATTTTTATCACATCACAATTACAAAGTCATGTTCGGATACACTAGTTTTTACTTTACGAGTCCATGCTTTTGATCTTATTTTTCGTTAAAAACTTTATAGGTATATCATATTAGACAATGGAAGCCCGAACTAATGAAGTTCTTCAGTGAATAGGTTTGACGTTTGAGAATATATTATGGAAAGTAGTGAGTTATGAATATAGTCATCTATGATTGGTTCGAAGATGTGGGTTATGGGATCACTGCTTAATTACTCAACAAGAAACGGCCACAATAGTCGTAGCTAAACTAATCGGCTAAACTTTGTAAAAAATTTACTGTGCTTTCACAATTCTGCAATTCTTTTACAGGATATCGATAATTTGATGGCAGAGGGTAACAAATCAAGGACAGTTGCTGCGACAAATATGAACAGTGAATCATCTAGATCTCATGCAGTATTCACTGTTATACTAACCCAAACTTTAATAGATTCAAAAAATGGGGTTAGTGGAGAAAAAGTCAGCAGAATGTCGCTTGTCGATCTAGCGGGTTCTGAGAGGGCTGTGAAAACAGGAGCAGTTGGGGAAAGGCTTAAAGAAGGTTCCAATATTAATAAGTAAGTACAATCAATAATCGTTATGTAATCTTCACATATCGAGACAGTCAGGCTTACCTCAGAGAAGTGTGATTGGTCCCAACTTATGGGCTTCTTATTAACGGTTTATGTAAAACCAGTAATAGTGTTATCGTAACACTATTCACTGACGGAAAATCTTTCTGAACTGTCGATAAAAATGGCATTAGGTATAACCAAAACTACCCTGTTATTGTTCTCTTATAAAATAGTCAGGTTATACCTCAAGTCCGAGCTCAAGAATATAATTCACTGCTGAAATTGAACTTGAAATTAATATTTTTGAAAAAACTTTATTGATTGTTATTGAAACATTCTTTTCAAAATTTCTTTTCCAGCAGAGATAAAAAATTGTATTAATAACAGATAGAATGAACAACAAAGTCATCTTTGAAACAAAGAACTCGTTTTCAGGTCTCTAACGACATTAGGTCTAGTCATATCGAAATTAGCAGATCAATCATCAGGTAGCAAAAACAAAGACAAGTTCGTGCCATACCGAGATTCTGTATTAACTTGGTTGCTAAAGGATAATCTGGGAGGAAATAGTAAAACAGTAATGGTTGCAACAATATCACCAGCAGCTGACAATTTTGAAGAAACTCTGTCCACCCTAAGATATGCTGACAGAGCAAAGAGAATAGTCAATCACGCAGTTGTTAATGAAGATCCTAATGCCAGAATCATTCGAGAATTGACTCAGGAGGTGGAGGCCCTGAAGGAAATGCTGAAACATGCAACGGTATCGTAACTTTTTCGTCAAACATTATTTTGAGGTTTAAAGGTTTTTTTCACAAAATAATCAAGTATTCTCAGTGATGATTTTGGATATCTTGGATATGCTTGTTCATTGGAGAAATGTTCACCCCAAATATCTCCAAAATTTAAAGAAATATTGGCAAAACCCAAAGATTTGTCCCTGTAATTTGAAACTTCTCAGTATAATTTCCTTTTCTAAGCTTGTTTTTATCCTATGGTGATTTGTTAGTCACTTGTTCACATAATTCAGTTCGTAATGTTGACTTTCATTTTCATGATTTTATGAACCAAAATATTGCGTCTGCTCTAGTTCAGATGAATTTGTTGCAAACTTTCAAAACCTGGATTGTAGTGATTGTCAGTGGCGTAGCAAAGGGGGAGCAGCGGGGGCGGGCCGCACCGGGTGTCACCTTTTTTTTGGGGTGACACCCACCCGGTCTCTCAACTTTAAGAACAATGTACAAACAAAAAAAATCGCTAGCACAATTTTTTTTTTTCGGGAATTCTTCCACTAGCACTAGCTCAGCTCTATGTATGATTCGGGGATTCCCGCAAAAGAGCCTGTCGCTGTCGTGAGAGATTCCCCGTTCCATAATCGCGATTTTTGACGTCTCAGTTGCAACATTTCTCATTTGTTTCGTGAAGTGTGTTGTGTTTGGTTGGCGTGAATTGTTAAACGTGTATGCAGTGTAGACAGTCGAACGGGTCGGACGTCTTTTCGAAGTACCTACCCTGTGAAACAGTTTATGGCGTCATTTACCGATGCCAGATGTGGTGAATTGTTGAATGCATTAAAGAAAAGAAAGTAAATGGTTGTGTGCAAATAAAAACCAAGTGTTTTCAGTTGGATAAAGTGCGCAAAAATTGTAAAAGTTTTTGAAGTGCTCAGTTTGTGTATTATCTGTGTCCAAGCAAAAACAATTGGTGAAAATCAAAGGGTTGTCTTATACGATTTTCTCATAATAGTTAATTGTAGTACGTGTCGCTCAGCGATCAGCAGAACGAGAGTTGCATGAACTCATGTATTGTAATAAATGAAGAGCGTTTGCATAAAGTTATCGAAGCCAAACTAGAGACTGCTGTTCGTCAATAAAGAGTCATGTTACTTCTGTGAAATCTGAAGTTGTGAAAGCTTCCACAAATGTGTCTACTTCTCAACCACGCAGGTACTCAGAGATACTGAAAAATAAATCGAACCCAGCTGTAATTATTCGCCCTAAAACTAATCAGGAAGTATCAAAAACAAAGACCGACATTTTGCGTCATATTGACCCAACATCCAAGAATCTTCAACTGAAAAAGGTCAAGACGATTAAAAATGGAGGAATCCTCAGCGGTTGCTGTAATCCTTTTGACAATGAAAAAATTAGAAAAGTGGTTGAAGAGAAAATGGCTGACTCTTATGATGTTAAAGAAGTCGCTGGCATGCATCCTCGACTACGAGTGGTAGGTATGACGAAAAATTACCCAGAACATGAGCTTAGGAAACTTTTGGTAAATGGTAACTCCGAAATTTTTTCACATGATTCAGAATGTAAAATATTGAAAATATTTCACACGAAAAAAAAACTCTAATATCTGGCAGTCAATTATTCAGGTAAATAAGGTAGCCTATGAGCGGGCTCTCAACTCTGGAATCGTGTTCATTGGTTATGATAACTGTGCTGTTTATGACGACATTGATGTGTACCGCTGTTAAAAGTGTAACCACTTCAATCACTCCTCTCGCAAGCGCCATAAATCAATTTCCTGTACGGTTTGTGGGGGGGTGTCCATGAATTAAATCAGTGTCAATCATCCGTTAAAAAATGCTCTAACTGCATGAAACTAACTAGGAAAGATGTGAATATTGATCATGCAGTCTGGGAAAAAAATGAATGCGTCTCGTACGCAGAAACTTTAAAAAGATTTAAGAATAGTCTCTTAAATTCTCAATAGCAACTAAAGGGTAATTGTCATATTTCCCCCGTAGCTTCAAAGCCAGGTATTAGTAAAGATACGAACACCTTATCAATTTTTTACCAAAATACTCGGGGATTAAAGACAAAAACTGGTCAGATACTGAATTCTGTATTTCTAAGCGACTATCGCGTTTTTGCACTAACCGAAACCTGGCTCGACTCATCCATCACTAATTTAGAATTATTTCCGGATAGCTTTAAGCTTATCGCTCACTTGTCCGGCACAGCACAGCACGGCACGTCCCGTCAAAATACGGTTAGGAGTGGAACAATGAAAATGAATGGATAACCGCCCACTAGCCCGGCACGGCACAGCCAAGAGCGTCCGTCGCCGGCCAGCATCATCTTGTCCAAAAGTGCTTGGGAAGTTTCAGTCTTTCTGTTTTGCTATTCCATTAGTTGATAGCAGTGTCAGACGGTACCTATGAAAATGGACGAGGATAAATTTCAAGTGAAATTTCCTTGAAATCGAACAAACAGCACCTTCACTATGCTAGTTGTAGCTGGACAAGTGGGCGATGCTACTACCCGTTGCCATCAGGCGACGGACAGCGCCGTGCTGTGCCGGACAAGTGAACGACAAGCTTTAACATATATAGAATGGATCGCAACTTTGAACGTACTTCCTTAACAAGAGGAGGGGCTGTTCTTATTGGAGTACATGAAGACTTTATTTCTTCAGAAATTAATCTATCGGATTCTAACCCCACGCTCAAACTGATTGATATATATAGTTGTTGTTAAAATAACCTATTCACATAAACATATTTTTCTGCTGAACGTTTACATACCTCCTCAGACTCCCCTAGCTGAGTTTGAACAACTCTTTGAAGCTCTGGAATTACTACACATTCAAGCGCTGAATTTAAAAGCAGCGAAATATTTTGGTATTATGTTTGATAGCACACCTGACATTTCACATATTGACCAAATGTCTGAAGTGATATGTTATGTGAAAATAGAAAATAGGAAAGTGGAAGTCAAAGAAGCATTCCTTGGATTTTTTCCTTTGCAAGGAAAAAAAGCTGCTGACCTAAGCGATGAAATTCTTGACAAGCTTCAGACAGACGATTTAGATATTATGATGTGTCGTTCCCAAGGCTATGACAATGCTGCTGTTATGAGCGGTGTGCACGGAGGAGTACAGTTCATTATTAAAACAAAAAACAATAAACCAATTTTTATTGGTTGTATTGATCACTCGATTAATTTGTGTGGTCAACATTCATTTGGCCAAAATGTATCACGCGTTACATTTTTTGGAACGGTAGAGACAATTTTTTTCCCGCCTTCACTAGCCCTTGGGAAGTGCTTATGAAACACAGCAAATTATGTGTTAAAAGATTCTCAACAACGCGTTGGAGTGCTCATTATCGTGCAGTAAAAGCACTAGCAGAGAATTTTAATGGACTTGTAGACGCAATTGAGGAATTGTGTGATGGACGAGAAAATGTAGACACCAGAGGTGCTGCACAAAACCTCATGCTTGCTGTGTGCAATTATACTGTTTTATGTTATCTTTTCTTCTGGTATGATGTTCTTCGGGAAATAAATGCTGCACAGATTGCATTGCAAAGCGAAGGCTTGACTGTTGACGAAACTGCTACAGAAATAGAGGCACTTCGTTTTTATATCGAAGAAAAACGGGATCACATTGTGGAAGAGGCAATAGACATTGCAACGAAAAAATCAGAAGACTACGATATTCCAACAGAAAAACGACTTCGGCGTAAAAAACGGATGGTTGGTGAGATGGCCAGCGATGCAGAACTCACACTGAAAGAGGAACTTCAAAATATATGTTGGAATGTCTTGACCGATTCAAATTTGAACTCCAAACAAGATCGAAGTCTCTTCAAGATGTAGTAGCTTCATTGTTCGAGATCGTACAACTAATGCTTTGCTTTTGGCGACTACTGCAGAACTGAAATTAGCTACATCTAAATTTACTGATTTTTATGATGAGGTCTCAGAAACCGAATTACTTCTGTTTATTATAGAATGGGATTTTACAGAATCTCTTCCAAATCTTATGATTGCACTGAAATTGTTCGTGTCGGTTTGCGTGTCCGTAGCTTCATGAGAGAGGAGTTTCAGTAAATTAAAATTAATAAAAAACTATTTGCGGGCAACAATGACCCAATCGCGGCTTAGCAATCTTGGTATATTAGCCATAGAACACGAGGCAATACAAAATGTAAATTTCGATGAAGTTATTGCTGAGTTTGCAGCTGTCAAAACTAGAAACAAGAAATTTTAATTGCATAACAATTCCTTTTCTGTCTTAGTTATTATTGTGTTTTGTTATTTCTTCAATATTATAATATTGAATAAAATGATAATAATACATGATCAATGACTTTCATCATATAAAATTTATTGCTTTTTACTTTCGATGGGGTGACACCACCAACTTCCGCACCGGGTCCCACCCAAGGTAGCTACGCCACTGGTGATTGTGTATCAAAATTTTATATTACAAAAAAGACAAGTTGCCGATGAGTCCATCGATTGATCCAAAGGATTCATCTATTGGTTCATTCGAAACGTTGGGGTGTTCCTTTTGATTGAAGCAATCCAGTGAGAAATTTTCTGTTGAATTTCAGAACTTGCTTAAGATATTGGGGGTGAATACTTTTCGATGGGAACAAACTACATATCCTCTCTCAAATTCAATTGGTAGAATTGATACCTCTGGCGTAAAATGAATATATTGAAAACTCTTTTTTCACACCATAACAAAATACGGTTTTTCGACGCGTGTTGCACGCGAAACTCGAGAGAGTATTTTGTTCTGTTGTGGGAAAAGTGTTTTTGAAAGATCTTCTAATATCAGCAATTCCAGGGTTCGCCTGTAGGTGACATTCAGAGAGTCGATATTCATCAAAAATTGAGCGAGAGCGAGAAATTATACAAGGAAGTTTCCCAGACGTGGGAGGAGAAACTTATGAAAACCGAACGAATACAAAATGAAAGGCAGCAAGCATTAGAAAAAATGGGAATTAGTATACAAGATTCTGGTATAAAAGTCGAGAAAAATAAATATTACCTAGTTAATTTGAATGCAGACCCTTACTTAAATGAATTATTAGTTTATTATTTGAAAGATGTTACTGTAGTTGGTGCTAGTAGTAATAATTCTGGCGTGGAACCAGATATTCAATTGTCGGGGTTAGGAATTCAACCGGAGCACTGCATAATTACCATAGAAGACAATGGACTGTTTCTTGAACCCCTTGCCAATGCCAGATCTTGCGTGAATGGTTCTCAAGTTAGCCAGAAAACTCCACTTCGTCACGGCGATAGGATAGTCTGGGGTAACCATCACTATTTCAGAGTAAACTGCCCAAGATCGATATGTAAGAATAACGCACATAATATTATAACATTTTTGACTATGACCTATTTCAGCAGCCACATCAGAACCTCATACACCAGCACAAAATATTGATTATAATTTTGCACGAGATGAACTTATGACAAATGAGATGAGCAACGATCCTATTCAAACGGCAATAGCGCGACTCGAAAAACAGCATGAAGAAGACAAGCAAGGTTTGTAATTTTGAATTATAAATCTGCAATAACAAGCGGATCAAATCTGTTCAAAATCACACGATGAGCAAACTGGTACTCTTGAGTTATGGACGAAACATAGTAATGATTCTCCTAAGTATGAGATAGAGATCTTTCATTCCTCATAACCTACACCCCAAGTTCTTTGAATTGCTCATTTAAAAATTGAATTAGAAATATAATCACATGTATTGGTATTATCTTCCATATATTAATTATTACTTTTTCTAATTATCCAGTTGCTTTGGAAAAACAACGCATAGAATATGAAAGGCAGTTCCAACAGCTACGTAACATGGTGTCACCCTCAACCCCCTACTCACAACATTCATACGACCCCCTCAGAGTAGGTTTGAGCAAAACTGCACCTTGTACCCCTACAACCCAATTGAAAGTTGATGGATGGGCCCCTGAAAGTGACGAGATGTTCCGAAGAAGTATAGTAAAATTGAAGGAAGATATCCTAAGAGCGAACTCCTTGGTAAAAGAAGCTAGTTTCCTCGCAGAAGAAATGGGGAGGCAGACTAAATTTAGTGTCACTTTACAAATTCCCCCAGCAAACTTGAGTCCTAATAGAAAAGTAAGTAACCAAGTCTCTTTATCCAAATGCTTATTTATGCATCATTTCATTTTGATTTCAGAAAGGAGCTTTTGTAAGCGAACCTGCAATTTTAGTTAAACGTAATAACTCTAGTCAAGTATGGTCAATGGAAAAATTAGAAAATAAAATAATAGACATGAGAGAGTTTTACGAAGATCAGAAAAGTAAGTCTGACCAGGACTCTCCAGGAGAACTACGAGGATCTGATCCATTTTTTGAGTCCCAGGAAAACCACAACCTCATAGGAGTCGCTAATATTTTTTTAGAAAGTCTTTTCCATGATGTCACCTTAGATTACCATACTCCAATTATCAGTCAACAGGGTGAAGTTGCAGGTCGATTGCAAGTAAGATGATTATTTCCATTCACGGGATCAACACATATTAAGGGAGGCTATTGTTGGGTTTCATTCTAGCATTCGCTACCCACAATCTCTAATTCATAATGTATGATTTCAGGTTGAGCTCAGTAGAGTTTCTGGAACTTTTCCTCAAGACCGCGACAATGAATCGGCTTCAGATAATTCATCAGAAATCAGTAATGATGAAGAAGAACAAAGCATCTCCCAAGTTACCATACGTGTTCACATAAAGCAAGCTTCAGGTTTGCCTCTGTCCCTCGCAAACTTTGTATTCTGTCAGTATCATTTTTGGGGGCATCCGGAACCAATAGTCGTTCCAGACATTAACCCTCATTCGAACAAGCAACCCACAACTGTGAAATTTGACCACTCCCTAGATTTCACAGTGAATGTTTCTGAGGAATTTTTAGAACATTGTGCTGAAGGTGCACTTTCAATAGAAGTATGGGGCAACAGAAGTGCAGGGTTTTCAAAATATACCCCAGGGTGGGAAGTAGTTGAACAACAACTTGCAACAGCAAGATCGTTGCTAGATCGGTGGTCTGAGTTGACCAGAAAAATTGAATTATGGGTGGAAATTCAAGAACTCAATGAACAAGGGGAATATGCGGCTGTTGAAGTTGCTATGAGAACAGACATGTTAACAGGTGGCATCTACCAATTACGGCAAGGCCAACAACGAAGAATCCAAGTTAGAGTTAAACCAGTTCAAAATTCAGGAACATTGCCTATCATTTGTCAGCAGATAATTAAAATTGAAGTAGGGGGAGTAATGGTCAGAAGTAGATTACAGAAAGCACTAGATTCATACCAAGAGGAAGATTTGACCGTTTTAAGGGAAAAATGGAATGATGCTCTTCAGAAACGAAGGCAATATTTGAACCAACAGCTTCAGAATTTATTGGAAAAGAGCGATAAAACTGAACAAGATATAGAAAGAGAAAAGAGTTTGATGGAGCAATTGGTCAACTTGACTGAAGAAAGCAATGCAGTTTGTATACCCCAACCAGGTAGTGGAATACCAGGTGCTCCGGCAATGTGGAGTCCGCCCCCTGGAATGGAACCACATGTACCTGTACTCTTTTTAAACCTAAATGGTGAGTATATCACCTGAAATCACTCAAATTAGTGAAGTACTATGTTCATTATTCATTTAAATTTTTATTACCTACGCATAAAGTGAATTCTTCCAAAAATTATTTCAGCTGATGACTTATCCACACATCCTACCGTTGCTGGCGTCAATTCCATTCTTCCCAAAGAGGATGGACGGCAATTTTATAGTCTTCACATCCTCAATCATTTAGACAAAGATGTATGTGCTATAGCAAGTTGGGATTCGTCCATTCATGACAGTCCAAACTTGAATAAAGTCACAGAAAGTAAGTAGTAAAATAAAATCTAGTGTGAAAAGTCTATCATATATAATATTTTTAGCCAATGAAAGAGTTTATATGATTTTAAGAGTGACCGTAAGATTATCACACCTAGCTCCTATGGAACTTGTTCTGCGAAAACGCTTAGCTCTAAATGTATATAAACGACAAAGCATAACAGACAGAATAAAAAATCAAATAAAATCAAAAATAGCTCGCAGTGATCTAGTAACGTCTTGTGGTGTTACATATTTAGTTGTTTCAAATGTTCCTAAAGCTAGTGAGGAATTAGAAGGTAGAGAGAGTCTGGCACAATTGGCAGCTTCGGGAGAAAATTCTTCTTTTTGTGATGGAGAAACATATATAGGTAAATAAAGTTGTAAGTATCAAATGGAAGGTATTCCAAATACATTTTTGCAGAGAAATATACAAGGGGTGTTAGCGCAGTGGAAAGTATTCTAGCCTTAGACAAGTTACGACAAAGTGTTGCTGTTAAAGAATTACTTCAAGCAAGAGGTCAACCGCTCATTATGAGAAAGACAGTCAGTGTTCCCAATTTTTCACAGGTGAGATTAAAATATATGGACGATAAATAGGAGTAAATTGAAAATTTCTGAAATTGCACAGTTAGTTGTTTTGTATATTACATAATTAACGAATGTAACTGTGTTTGGATGTTATTTTGTAACTAACAAAAGTTAAAAATTAGGTTCGGCGTGATTATTTCAACACTGGAATCCACGATATTCTAGACGCATTGATGAAAATGATTCTTTAGTTAGTTACAGAATAGTAATTTGATTATTTTCAAATATACTGATTGCTTGGAGCTTCTAACAATAGTCGTAAAAGTTCATATATCACCTTACGTTTATGAAATAAATCACGATACATAAAAAGCTTTCTAGTACATACACCTTAGATTCTTTACTAGTAATAACAACCTATTTATTTTGCTGCACAGACTCTGGAAGCCAAAAGTGGGGTAGGTTCAAAATTGATGTTCTTGCTTTCAAATTCACATTATGCATGTAAATCTAAATTCAAAGTGATTTGTTTCTTTCTATTTCATTTCTTCTACATAATAATCACATGAGATATATTTTTGGCAAACAACAACTCAGCAAATAGAATAATATCTACAAGATGATGTTAATTTTGGGAAACTTCTCCCCTCAATACGAGGTCTGTTCAGAAAATAAGGTGAATTTTCATTTTTATCAAAAAAATATTTATTTATTGATCAATTTCCATTTTGTCCCCTTCAAAGTAGTCCCCCTCAGATATAATACTCTTGTAACAGTTCTTCTTCCAATCTTTGAAGCAGTTCCGATATGCACTGTTTGGTGTGTCTCTGAGCTCTTCCAGCGATACAGAGGCTGAGGCATGATTACGGTGTTGTTTTTAGCCAATGTACCAGTGAGCAGGTGCATTATCGTGATTCAAAAGCCACAATACCGGACGTTTTCTTCCTATGTCTTCTCACAAGCGACGCATAACTTCGCACCTGATGCATCTAAACATGTTGGAACAGTTGAAACTGTGGATATATGTTCAAGACCAGTAGTGTACCAACAAAAAAATAACATGAAAAATAGTTAATCGAATATGCGTAGCCCGCGAAATTTGAACATTCACCTTATTATTATTTACCTTCAGTGATGATATACTCTAGCCAATTTTTGCCAAAAATACTGTCTATGGTTGTTTCCATTTCAATTGAGCTCTAATATGGAAATGTTTTTAGCTTATGAAACTCGATCTAAGCACAGAATCTCTTTGCATGTCAAGATCGGAAAGCGTATCAGAGTTGAACACTGAATCAAACCTAACACCCCTGAGAAATCGATCATCCTTTGGAAAAGATCCAGAAATAACTTCGCCAAAATTCGGAGGACTGGGTAAGTCAGCTTTGTGTGAGATATAGATTTTCAAGATAGAAATTTTACGCTATAGAAATACTCAAATTTAGATAAACGTCATTTGGTTTCATTGAAGAGTTCATAATCAGAATGAAATCGAATATAGATTAGTATGTTACAATGAATAGTTATTATAAGTGAAATAGTGTTGAAAAGTTTACTACAATTGTGTAGGATTTGTGTGTAGAGAATGTTTGGTATAACAAAATAATACAAACAACCTTATAACCGAAAAATTACCAAAATCTTGAACAGGTTATCCATGTCTGCATAATTTATATGCAATAGAGTAAATTCATATTGTTGTACGTTTTTTAATAATGCATACCTCTGAGATAAGTACTCAGTGAAACAAACTGACACTGTTTTATTTACTTTCACAAATAAAACAACAGTTTAACAAATGTATGTCACCGTTTGAACACACTAATCACTTGTGCGCCAAACTTCCCTTGCTTTTCTAATCTTTCATTAGATTTCAAATCTGCCTTCCACATCTCTCCATGGTCTCATTTCGGTCTAGGAACTTCCAGAATCTTGTCTCAAAAATATCATTACATTACATTTTCCATTACCTTGAGTGTTCAAAAAAGATTTTCCGAAACTTGTTCAGTTAGTTCATGAGACAGGTTCAGAACACATAACATTTTCATATAACTATTTCACATTCTTGGCTGTTGTGAGAAAACTAACTACCATCTTTTTTTAAACGGAGATCTCGGAAAAACAGTTCTTAATGAAAAAAACTCGTGCAGGTTTCAATAAATGTCATTTCAATAGCTGATTATCACTAACTGTCAATAAGCCTCTCCATAAGGATATTGTTTCTCTAGGTTTCTGTTACATATTTTTCTCCGGCATTGGCTTTGCCAGATTGGACATTGGGTGATGGTATTGGCCAATACTTGATGAAGATCCATAACCTATTTTGGTAACACTTTATCGTGTGATTTTCACTAGACAGTTTACAAAACTGCAACACGTGTTATGTGAACTGTCGCCATATAATAGTTTTTTCAAGCGTTTTCAAACATGCATTGGTTATGGTTTTGTAAACTGTCTAGTGGAAATCTCACTAGAATATGAGGTTATAAAACAATGCTTCAAAAACAGTAGAGATCTTTCAAACATCAAAATTACTTTAGAGTGATATATATCGCAGATAAGATTTTTGCTGTACGTTCCATAGAAAAACAAGCATAGAATGAAAACTTTGTTACCAGTTTCCTCTAGCAAAAATGAAAAAATAGTTTCAACACACTTATTTCAGTTGTTTCTAAATTTAGAAGAAATAGCACTAAAATCAATACTAAGAGACAAATTGTGACTAATTTTATATTTGATTTTCCTCGTGCAAACCTCAAGGCTCCATTCTATCAGGTAAAATGGAGACTTACCTATTGGGACTGCTATATTATGTCGATAACATGATGTGACGGTTGACAGAATCATTTGCTTGAGAACAATCAAAACAAGTTTTGAGATAATTGACTGCATCTCAAATCTATGTGAAAATGTAGTTAGAAAACATGTAGATATGAATAAATAGCATGGTTTGGGTAAAATTTGCCAATTTAGTTCTAGCTTCGCCTCGAAATTGATTCGGTTGATCAATTAGCTGACTACTGTGCTTCGTAAAACAATAATGGCCAAAAGTAGTCGATACAATTTCATCAGTAACATATTTTGTTCATTGTAATGAAGTCACAGAGACTTAGACTATTCTAACCTGAAAATTTTCCGCGTGCATTTTGAGCATGTGTAGTGATTCTAGACATAAACACTAAAATAAGTGCAAGATGTGTATACCCTGATTTACATCTGGCATTGCAAACACATTACTCAAATCATTATTCAATGATAATAATAAAGAAGATATTTTAAGTAGCATAACACATTTAACCTACACATCAGATTTTGAACACGACTTTTGGCAAAAATAAAATGCTTCCTTCAGTGACAAATTTGGTGATTCAATATGTAGGTATCCATAGAGTTTTAAAATAATAATTCAGTTCCTCTACAACCTTCGAATAATCCTCTTTTTTCATAGCAGCATTGTTGTATATAATTGTGTATGTTTTGTGAGAGGTTTGGAATTTTGGTAACCGAAAATTTTAAAGTTTCAGCATTATTGGGGATAATTTAATGAAAAGTAGAAAATCTATATATTCATTTGCCTTTTGAGACTTCGTCATCTCTGATGTTAACACAAGAACGAAAACAAGACTCGAAAAATATGTAAATATTTGAATGCTTCAGTAATCAGACTGGTATACTCGATAACCAATTGGCCAATAACCTGCATGATCTGTTATCTGTTAGATTGGAACTATGTCTCTTTGGCTTTAAAATGGTATAAGTATCATTTTAAATGTACAAATTTTGTAGAAAGGATCGTTGTGTCTAAACGCACGTAAAATTTAGAAAATGTCGATTTCTAAATGTATTTCTGATATTTCAGCCCGCCCTACGTTCTTAAACCTCAACATAAACTTGAATTCTTTGAGGTTACAACAGCCGACAAGTACAAAACGTATGTTATTGTTCAAAATGTTGGTGTAATGACATTTCATATTTTGTTTACTTCTTTCTGTTCCGAACAAATATTTTGAAAATAAAATGATCTAGGCTTTTGGAATATTTGTTTAGACTGAATTTAAAATATTTGTTCATGCCTGTAGTTTTTGATTATTTTTCTTTATGCGGCATGTAATTTTTGTAGTTTTATTGTTTCATGAATGATGATAAATGTTGATATCTGTCTAAAAAATGGGATTTAAAAAATAAATTGAATTTTCGGAAAGTATCGTGAATAACAAAGTAATTCAAAATGTTAAGAAAGTAAAACTTGTCAACAATCAGTTTAATGACTGTTTTAACAGTGCGCTTGTTGATCAGTAATTTCCAATGAAAAAAGGTGGGATTTTTTTGGAAAGGTAAACGCTGGGATTATTTATGTAACATTGTCAATTTCATCAAAAGTTTTTTCAGTCCCATAATGCTTCAATTAGGTAGAAATCATCCACATTCAGTTTTATGAAACTGAAAAATGATTATGAAGCACTCATATTCAGATATGTAATTGTTAGTTTCATCAGCAAAATAATCCATGTTTTCAAGTTCATTGCCAAGTGTTGGTCTAACACCATTAGACAACGTTACTTCTTTACAGTATTTTCTGGTATGCCATCACCAGCCAATACAAAACTCGGTTTGAGAATGACAACATTGCATGAAGAACCTACGAAAGCACTACCACGCAAACATTCCTTTGATTTATTGATGGATGACACTATTGAAGAACAAACTGAAGAAGGAACTAATGGAAAAACAGAAGTTCATGTAAGTTTTCAATATATACTCTTCATTTCACATGCAAGAAATTAAGAGAGAAAATTTCATCTATAAGAAAACTACATAGATAGTAATATTAGTTTTGAACTTTCGGAATACGGAAACATCATCATTATTCAATTTCAAACGATTTTTCAGTATATACAGAAAAATAAGAGTCATGCCAAGAAGTCCCTCCCGATGTCACGTACGTTGGATTCATTAACAGAGTTTGCACCAAAACCTAATACTCCCTCATCAAGTTCTAGTGGTTATGGATCACAGGCAGTTTCAATTACAAACCTTTCAAGTGATGATTCAATTTCCTTGAAAAGTTTGAATGAAACTCCCGATTTGGAGTGCAAAGCAAACAACGATTTACAGACGGTGTCAGAAGTAGCTGATGTAAATGCAGAATTGGACGTAAGTTGAAAGCTTCCAGAAGAATGTACGAGAATTAATTTCCATACCCCTAAAACCGATAATAATTGCGTATATGCACAAATTGAGAGATGAACTGATAACGGTACAAGTAAAGTAAATTTCACAAAAAGAATCAATAAATCTGTCTTTCATTCTTTGTATCATAATGTAAATATCTCTTTTGAGATTATAAGAAACAACAGAATATATTATTTTTACTTCTCTCTTGAATATATTCAGCAATTTCTTCCTTTGGATATACCAATACTCAATAGTAACATCAACAATGTATCTTCCATAAGACTTATAACTGAATGTTAAGAATCCTATTATTTTAATTTCATTTCAGAGACTCTCTGTTCAGGAAGACAGAGCTGAAGGGTCTACAAATAACGAAGAGAGCTCAGATGATTTGATTAATGGTGTGGATAGCGATTCAAATCAAAATCAAACTGGAAGTGACCTTACAGAATCAAGTTCTTTAATAAAAACCAATTTATCTCCTGGAAGAGTTGTACGCAGGAAAAAACAAACCAGAAATCAACAGGCTCACAGAGCTTCATTTCCACAGGCTCGTTTACATATGTCCGAAAGCAAATCTGCTCATAACTTATTAAGTAAAAATAGTTTGACATTATCTACAGAAGATGAGAGTTTGTATAGCTCTACAGATAGATTAGAAGGTAACAAAAACTCTACAGAAGTTATAATCATGTCTCTAATAATGTTTTATCCTTGACTTCTAGATGACCAGGAAAATAGTTTTGGTTCTCGTCCTGATCTTTCAAAAATTCATGATGTTCCCGTCCCTGATTGGGTGGTATTAGGTGAAAGTGTGCTAATCAGGCCCTACAATTCATCGGGAGTTGTGGCTTATATTGGAGGCACCGAGTTTGCCAGTGGGACATGGATTGGAGTAGCATTGGATGCTCCAAAAGGTGAGTTTCCCAAATATATATTTTATAAACTTGTGTACGAAAGCACCTCATCCAGGATCAACAGATTAAATCTGCTATAGATCATATAAATAATATGCAATGGGATTGGCCAATACTCGATGAGAATCCATGATAACATATTGTAACTAAAACTATCATGATATTTTCACTCATCACTTTACAAAATCACAAACGTGTATCACTATATAGCTTGTTCATGTGTGTTCAGTATTAACCTTAGATTCTACATGGTGCTTCTCTTGTAGTGAAGAAAGGTTAGCATTCAAGCTGCTGGAAAATTATTCCATGAAAATGGAAAGATAAATAGATGATAACTTATCCAAACCATCACAATTTGAATATAGGATAAAGAAAATACTTTTTTCTAATTTCTACCAAGTTTATTATTTGTTACAACCGGTTTCGGTTTGTTAGACCATTCTCGAATGCACCAGTTACTTGAGAATGGTCTAACAAACCGAAACCGGTTGTAACAATTAATAAACTTGATAGAAATTAGACAAAAGTATTTTCTTTATCCTATATTCAATATGAATTTCTACAAAATGAATAGGTCATCATTAGAACAGATTCACAATTTGATTTTGATCTAAGAGCCACCGGTAGACAGCTGTTTCAGCCTGTTGGACATCATCAGTACTGTTCAAGCAGTTCTTGATTGAAGACAAATTGCGAAAAACCGGACAAGTACTTGATAAAAACCTTTGTGTGAAAGCAAACGAGGCATAAGTGGAAACACCTATTGGTGTGACATCCAAGTTAGCTAGTCAAGTTTTTATGTTGGCGTTGGTGGTTTGACCAATCTTGAAAACCGAAAAGTGCGTTGCCAGAAATTTAGGAAGCTATCCTGGAATGCCATAGGAAAACGAATCCATGTTTCTAGAAATTATAAAATCTGGCATTCTAGGATAGCTTCTCAAATTTCTGCTAACGCAGTTGTCGTTTTCGAAGATTGGTCAAACCACCAATGCAAGCTAACTTGAGTGTCACACCAAGTGGGTGCTTCCACTTATGTACGCTTGAGTATAATCAAACAGGGGATGGTAATGACAAATTCGACAAACTTGTCCAACTGTCTACCAATAAAACAAACTGAGATGTCATTCTACGTATATGTACCATAAAAAATTGTTTATTAGCTGATTATTACGGATTTTATCCTTTGGGTTCTAGGTTATGCATGAAAATTTCAGCAAGCAAAGGACTCAAGGGGTTTCCCATTATAAGGCTTTTGTTACAAGAATACTCATATAAAAGTGTAACTGATAGCTGTCTGTACATGAGAGATATTTGAGAAACATTATTATCAGGGATCTTTATTAAAACAATAGAAACCAAAACAATGACTTCTAGAATGTTTTACTGTTTATGCCTGCTAATCTTGAAATTAGCTTGACTGATTTGGATGCGGTTGGTTTTAAGTAATGTGTTGGTAAGCTCCACCAAACATTTTGTTTGATTTATTTCAATAGGTCCATAAATAAAAAAGTTATGTTGATTTGAAGGATCATTATAAAGACCAGACCTGTCACTGCTATGAAACAGTAAATACATAAACATTTTCACAGTTAAAACTATTTAGAAAATGAGGTCACTGAATACGAATTTGAGGTCAGATTATCATATCGTGACCCATATTTATTTATTTATTTAGATTATGGGTCCCTCAAAATGGGCTGAGGGTCTTCGAAACTGGGTCAATTTTTGAATATTCCTGAAAAACGGTTGAAACTTATAACTAGCGATTTTACAGAATCTGAGGTTAGATTATTGATATAGTGACCCATACTAGGTTTGATAGGGAATCGAATCTAGGCTGATAGCACTGTTTTATGTGTGAAAGCTCTAACTTTGAGCGGCTCTAGCACGCATGGTGTGTGTGTGTGGTCATTGATGTAGTAGGTGTGGATAGTTTTTTTATATCGCAATTATACTTTCGAAAATAAAAAAATTTGTTTCTCTTCTGTTGATAACTGGTTGTTTGTCAAGAACCAGCTTTTTGCTTGTTCCATAACCTTCTCAAGGATCGCAAGGTTCACTGATACTAATGCCAAGTGTAGTTTTACCAGAATACACAATTGCCATTTGAGGTGGGAATATTTGGTAAATCAATGAAGAGAAGAGGACCCAATATTAATCACTGAGGAACTCCTTTTATTATTGATTGGGGAGTATTTCTCTGATTCTTAATACAAGCTACTTGAGAACGGTTGGAAAAATAGGATTGGATCAGTTTTGATGCCTCTTATTCTGTAGTACTCCTTTTTTTCCCAACAATATATCATGATCGACGTAATCAAAAGCTGCAATTAAGTTTGTATAGAATTCCAAAACAATTTTCTTTTCTTTTAAAACAATTTTTATCACCGGAGACGAAGATTTGATAGCATCCAAAGTTTTTATCCTAAAACCATATTGTTGAGGATTCAGGTTTTTCTTCTTATTGAGGTAATCGACTACTTGATTATAAAAAATCATTTCAAATATTTTTAAAAATCAAGGCAAAGTTGATATTTGCCTGAAGTTTTCAGAATTTTTTTCGGATCCTTTTTCATAAATTGGGGAGATTGTTTTGCCAATTCAAGAAATCAATGGAAACAATCTTCATTCGAAAAATTGGAATTGTACTAATATATAATACATAATGATAGACATTTTGTGTAACGTTCTTGTGAATGTTATCTGTTTCAATTCCATAACGAATATTTGGAGTATGAACTGATTGGGGAAAAAGTTTTTTTCTTGTGATTCAACGCTCACGTGAAAGTAGTTGTTTGGAAAGGGTGTTTTCTTCCAGTTTGTATCTGTAAGAAACCACTTTCTCCCAAAAATTTTTTATTCCCATTAATGATAGACCTTTCAAATTATATCATTCCTGCTTATTTCTACTTTCCTTATTGAAATAGTAACTGTTATGACAGTATTATTCAGTTACTTGACTTTGAGCATAAAATTAGAGAATGGAAATTATTTGAAAGCGTTTTTTGCATACAAATTAATTTTTATTACAAAACTAATAAATGTGAAACACATGGTTTCGTAAGCCGATTTTCATCGGCTCATTTCATCACGAATGTCTTTTTAGGAAAAAACGATGGCAGCATAAAGGGTATAAGATATTTCGACTGTAAGCCAAAACATGGTATGTTTGTGAGGGCTGATAAACTAATATTGGATAGAAGAGGCCGAGCAATGAGACTTGATAAGGCTGAAGCTCTTGCCAATAGCAATAAATGTTCTTTGAGCAAAGGTAGGTTAATAGAAAGAACAATAAAGTAGGTGTATATTTATTTTATGAGCAAAATACTCCGTAAAAAAAGAAATATTTTGTCAGTCACTGGGTAACATGACTATATTCAATACAAACACTGCTTTCTCACACCAGAACTACCAACACCCCTCTCAGCGTTAACAGTAGATGAACTATTCTCATTCACTCCACATAATTTTGTGACACACTGTTTGGAACCTTTGGTGTAGTAATGAATATTACTGGAGTTTTTTCCCAACACCAAACCGTTATTTCAACACCTCAACAAGTGTTTGGATCACCAAGTGATCATCTTCAAGAGGAAGCTTTTTCCTCTTGATTAATTAATATTCCTCTTGAAGAAGAATATTAATCTTCCTGTTGAAGATGATCACTTGGTGATCGAAACAAATGTCGAGGTGTTTTATGTGTCGGCATAAAACTCCAGTACTATTTCTACATAAGACTATCTGCTATGGTCAATCAAAAATGTAATGAAAGGTAACCTCTATCAAGAAATTGGGTATTATTATTGGTCAGTATCTGAGGTGGGATGAACAAGTATGAGAAAAGAATGAGGCTACTATGTTCACTCCATACAACTCTCTGGCAGAATCAATATTACTACGTAGTGTTGTCTGGATAAGCACTTCTAATTTACCATCAACTGTTTGGGAACAACGCCACATTCGTCGATAAAAGTTATGTTGAAAACGGCACTGACGCTTTGCTTCATTTGAATTATATGAAGAAACTGAAACGTTCAATTCAAGAGGGATCTGTTTGGTTGTTAGTGTATTTTATGAATGTCCTCCAATCTGCAGAGATTTTGTTCTTCGATAAATATAGCCAAGTCATTTGAAAGTTTCAATATCAAAACTCCACTATACACAATTAAGTTTTTTCTATAGAACAAAACTATATAATTTACTTTACTTAGAATAGAAAAATATTAATAAGTAACAAGTACAATCCAACTACAAAAAGTTCATTATTGAAACTCCAACGCTCTGCAATTTACTTTAATAAAAAATTCTAGTTATAAACTGTGTACAGTTCCAATATATGTAAAATTATTTAATATCCATATCCAATTTTTTCTCCATATAGCATTTGACTCCTCACCTATCAAAAAATAAAAGGAAAAAAACATTAATTGATAATAATTATAGAATGTTTGCACTGCCACGACCATCCGTCAATGATATCAAAAATACTAATGAAAACTCAGCTACGAGTGGTTGAAAAACACACAAAGCAGGTGTCAAGACGCCAGGGTGTATTTTATTCACTCTGAATTCATTAATATTTCAATGACAACTGAATTCTGTATAATTATATCTTCATTTTTTTATATCTAGGTACCTACCTAGATATATCATGAGAGGTGACTGTTGATAGCAGGTAACAGTAAAGTTTATCTTCTAATAACTGCTAACTTGATTTCTGAAACGCACGTCAAAAAGAGTGGTGCAGTTCTGGAGTTTGGGAGCAGTGTTTTTATAGGATTTATTATATTCTGGAAGTTCAAGTTCTAACTTTTACTAAATATATTGTTTAACAAAGAAGAAACATACATGTATAGAAAAAGAAAATAAACAGAAATACCCATAGCACCACAGGATATTTCATTTATTACACTTTCAGTGATAGCAACCACTTTGAATTTTAATGAAAGTACTATCTGTCATGAACAAACACAAATTGACCTAATTAGTGTGCTAATTTTATGCAGATCAATCCAAAGGGTAACTGAACAATGGTATCTTATAAGTACAAAGGCTTTGACAGCCAGAGTGAGGATTAAAGGAAATAAACTCCGGGCTGGTGGATAGCTGTGGTCGAATGGAACCTGTGCATTGATAGTCTCAGCAAAGACAGTCTTTGCTGAGACTTCAATATATAACGCATATACCGCTGATGATGTCTGCTGCAGTAGCAGATCAAACGGTTAGTACTTCGAGGTCCATTCAACCACTGCCTTCCAGCCCCCGGATTTTGTTCTCTTCAATAGTTAGTTAAGTAAATGTTGGCCTTAGTCCCAGAAATTGAAATACTGATAGTATCATCAGCATATACAATGATTTTTTGTATATTTGAAACATTTATGAAAACTCTGGAGGAAAGGACTCCGAAAATGACCCTTGAGGGACACTAACATTAACAATATTTTCTGTAGATCTTTGACGGTTCATCCCCACTATTTATTGTCTGTCACGAAAATATGAAGCAATCCGTTCACTTATAAGTTCTTGTATGCCAATTCAGTGTAGTTTTTCTACTAATATAAGTAGGTGATGATCAACTGAATCAAACACTCTACTTAGGTCAAATGTCAACATAACTGATGACAGAGATTTACTGCTGATGATAGAAATATGTACTACAATGTTCAAGTTTCAATAAAAATATATTCCAATACACAAACTTCAAGCCTCTCAATGATAAAGTGGATATAGGTAATGAAGCATGTGAATATAACCAGACTGCACTAGAGGCATTATAATGACTATACTGAGTGCCAGGATTCTCAGGTTACCGTTTGGATGGGTGATCAGTGTTTGGTCAAAGTCCAACAGTGCCTGTAAAAACACAGTCCAAGCTCATAACTCGATCTAAGCTCAACAGCTGGTTAGCGATAACAATATAATCTAGAATGAAATAATCTAGAATAAGCTGACACAGAATCCACTTACTAACATTAAATTTCTTGTAGATACATTGCCAAGATCTCGATCACGAGGAAATGGTTTGAACACAGTAGGGACTCGGCCGAGTTCGAAAGCCAAGTAGAATGAGAAAAATAAAGCATCGACCACCTTTCCATTAGTCGTCCACCCTATTTATTGCCATTTGCCGTGTTTTACGACACAAATCTGTGTGCCGTCCATCTACATGGCGTAGTGTTATTCATCCTTGCCATTTCATATATAAATATTGTCACGATGTAATATTGTTTGGTTGCACTTGAAAAAAAGCGAGCACTAGCTTGGTATATACTGTCATAGTTTTCTTACAACTTCCACACACAAATGCCTTCATGTTATCAAAGTTACATCGAGAATCAAAATATTTTTTGGACAAGATGATATAATTTTTTACCTACTCTCTCGTTGTAACCTTTCAAAACCATGAGAAAATATACAACCATTATTTTGGAATTATGTTGCACAAGCATAGAAACCACTTGAGTTTTCAACCAGATACTACCTCCTTTGAGTTGGTCAAGAGTCCTTAGTTAGATTTTCATTGTTTTTAAGTCAATTTTGAGCTTTCAGAACTATACAGATGGGTGCTGGTAGGAGGTTGTGGTAGGTTTTTCAAAACATGAATATCTCTTGTGGTCTCTATTTTCGGGAAACAGTACAAAATATCAGTGCTGTTGTTGGCCATGTGTGCCACCACATAAATTGAATCCATCAGTATATTATTCTTCATACACTAATTTAAATATTCATTTTTCCATAACATCTTTGTTCCCCTACCACATAACATTTAACGATTTTCAAACCATTCGCAAATGTTACTTAACGAATTATGCCCCAGTCAATTTCTAATCTATTTGCCTTCAGGCAAGTGATCATCATAGAGTGTCTGTTTCAAAAGTTCTTCACATTATTTGAAAAAAATAATGGAGAAAGAATGAGGAAGGGACAAAGTTGTGCACTGATTATGTGTTGTCTGGTTCCCATTATCGAAACACTATTCACCGTTTTAGTTTAAGCATTTCTTTCTGTGATATAGTTAGTGTACACAGATCACTTTGGTTCTAATTTATGTGAATTTTATACATATTTTTTGCGTGCTGTATAACTGAACAGAATTAAAATAGAGATATGTAACTGTAATAGACAAAAAATATGTAGCTTACAAGTATTTAACTAATTCTGTGTGTCTTTAGAGAGAAAAAATTTAGTATTAAGGATAACATCATAGATACAATAATAGTATTTCAATAATTTTCCGATTTCTAATTTAGATTGAGTCAAAATAAAAAAAAATTGTCTAGGTTACCTATGATTTACAGTTTTGAACGAAAATCTTATTCTCTACATATACACATTATCAATTCAAGTTGATTTTTTTCTAGTATTGCAGGTGAGTTTGGCTGCATCTTCTCAGTTTTGCATTTTGTCATTAACACATTCCATGAAAATCAATGTAAATGTAATGAATGCAATATGATCTAGTCTCTATGGTTTATTTATTGCTCAGATTTAGAGGTTTAGTCGTCCACTGACTGTAACTGAAGTATTAATGATGATGAAAAAATACAAACAACAGAAATTGTCAATTCGACCTAAGATTCGAGTTAAAAACTTCAGGACTCGTCCAGAATTTTAGAAAAAACTCAATGTATCATTATTTCAACTTCAGTTGATCATTTTCCAGTCAACAGAATAAATACTAGACCTTTTCCTGTCCAATTTAAATTATTCTGTCCAGTTTGTTATAAATTTTAATAAAATGTATTATATCAGCCTGATGTTACATTTAGTTATCAAATTGATTGATTGTAGGAAATAAACCATAATAATTATTGCATGTCAAATACAATCAAATTTCATGATAAAAAAACGTATCTTACTATGATTTTAAGAACCATTTTAGAAACATTCGAAACCTTATATCTACAAATTGCTGGAAATGAAAACCAGGATTTCCAGTGAAAGTTAGTGAAAAATTTATATTAAGTACAACATTCGTAAATACTCTGAAGGTGTGCAAAATTTCATTCAATACACAAGATGTCTACTAACTTTAATCAACTGATGTTCGGATGTATATTTTCAGAATACATATATTTCAAAACATTTCGACTGTAAAATAGTTCCCTTTCGTAGGTAATGTTCATCTATTTCAGTTAAGTAGTATTTTGAAACAGATATATAATTTTGCAATAAGGTAAATATTCTGAAATCTTGTAAAAGTAACCGATGTAAACTTGACGGGACCAAAAAATCTCAACTCCTGAATTCATCATCAAGCATCATTTTATATATGTGCAATTTCTGTCAAAATTTCTTCGACAATATTGAGTTGTGTAATTCAACTAAGTTACCTTGATTCAATTAACTCAATACTACATTGTGCAATAACGAATATAAATTATTGTCATGGCCACTGAACTGAAACCATTACCTTCAATAATCTGAAGCAGTGAAAATGAAACATCAAGGCACCACAACCACATCTAGATGATGACAGGAGGCTGAGTGTTTTGGTCACTGTGTTCACCTGTACATTCAATAATGTAAATAAAATGTTTTTCAATATTTCTCATCAAGAGTAATAAAAGCCTTTGGTTTTCATTCGATCTGGAATTGTTGTTTTTTATGTAATTAGACTCAAATAGTTATAAAATATTTTATATATATTGTGTACATTTTTGTTGTTTACATTAAATTATTTTACCTTGACATTTTAATAGTTTTTAGAGTTTATTTGTAGCTGTGGTCCTACAAGCAATTACAATATATGAACATTAAATAAGTGTTTTTCATGAAAGAAATCTAAACCCAAGAATTTAGGGGCCAATCAACATGAGCAATGGCATCGAGACTTCTTAGAACTTTCAAAGAACATATATTCCTGTAAAAAATAGAAACTCAGATAAGAGAAAATATTCATGAAACTCCAAGGAATAATTATTATTACCAAAAGAAATGCAGATCCCATCAGAAGAGCCTTATATCTCGTTTCCCGAATATTGCTAGGCATTTGTAATAAAATGTTGTAAGACACTTGAACTTGGTCCCACTGATATATGATGCTTCCTATCTGAGTTGAACCATCAAAGTTATATATCTATAAGTAGAGGCAAGCAATCATTGAATATATTCAAATCAATATAAAAATATCACCTGAAAATTTTCTGCTTTCCCTAGTAAACACCCGAATGAACTTGGTCCTTCTATTCGATACAATAACTCGTTATGTCTGTTATAAACATGAAAATTAGGTTTCATGTTGAAGGACATATTTTGTGAAATGGTTCCTAGAAGTTCTCCAGGGGGTATCCAAATCTCCATTTTCTGTAAATGATCATATTTATATGGAGGAATTTACAAATTCGAATGTATTCATGGGGATCTCGTCAACAGTAAGAGGTAAAGAATAAGATGAATTGTGGATTGTGGCAGAGTTGACACTTTTCGGGAACTACTGAAAGATACCAAAAAATCGTAGATGAACGAGAAAAACAGAAATTTGCAGAAATATCGAAAATCTGTTCACATTTTGCCTTAGTAACTTTCAATGGACTATCAAAATATGATCATAGGATTTTTATACAGGTTGACATCTGACTTGGGGCACCCCCCATTTTTGAAATTTCAAATTGGGTAACATTAGATTAAAAAGTAAAAGCACCTAGGCTGACTTTCGACCAAAAGAGGTCAGATGTCAATCTTGTTGAAGTGCCCATCAATAAGTTGAGGACCGCTACGGAGGAGCAGGGGTGGATGGACGAGATGGGATGTTCTGCACACTGTCACCGTGTGGGAGATTTCAACTCGGGGCACTCAACCCGGGAGGGGGCATGGGGGGGGGAAAATATGGTAAATGTTTTTATGGGCAATGTTCACATATCAAATTATTAAATTCTTTCCTGTATCTTCGAGAGTTTCAATAATTTGATGATTATCAAATACATTTTATTATGGCTCTGGTAATTGCTTGAAAAAAAGCAATTCTTACTCCCTTCATGTACACAGATAATTTTCGAAAACTTCAAATACATGAAATGTTTTGATATCACAATCCTCTGATATTTCCAGTGTGCTTTTCTATGTTCTAAACCTCCAGAATAAAACTCCAGTAATATTCAAAATACCACATAATTTAAAAAAATATTTTCAGTACTTTTTTGTAAGACAGTAGTGTTGCATAAGTCGTCACCAAAAGGCGCTACCATGGGAAGGGTGGTCTAGGAATTCCTCTTTTGATAGGTATTTCAAATGCTTATCTAAGGTTGTTTTATTTATGCAAATCAGTTCAGCTATTTCTGAGTAATTATAAGTTTTATATTAATTTTAGGAATTTTCAAACAAAACAATAAATGTATAGTAAACAAATTACCTGAAGATAGCACCAGAATGTACAAGTTCCACATGCTAGCCTTCGTTTCAAAAGAAGGGTTTCCTGTTGAGTTTTGTCATATAGCCTCATACTGAAATCTCTACCAGATCCAAAACACATCCTCTGACAACCATCTGAACTTTCTGTTGCATAATATATTGTATCTCCTCTAGGATTTCTTATGGTATATCTATTCTCAGAAGACACAGATGATACTACTGAAATCAGAAAATAATACTAGATAAATAAAAAGAAATCCTAGGGATAGCAATTGAAGAAACATTAATTCTTACCTGTATGTTTGTCCTTCAGTAACACAAATAGAAAGCACATTTACACAAAATTAAAGCCTATGCCACACTTTAGATTTATGAAAAGCTCGGATTCAAAATAATCAAGAGACGCTCAACTTTATGTCCCAGAATTTGGGTCAACTCAAAAATTAAACATTTTCATATGTAAAACAGAGAGAATGGTTTGATGTTGAAGCCATTTTTTTGCTGTGGAACTGTACTAACAGAAATAAATTTTGTTTCAATGTTCTTTGGGAATGTACATTATTTTTGTAATTTATGGGGCGTTCAACCTTGAAATCAGAAAATCTTTTGACATAAAATGTATAGGAATGAATGGAAAATCACTAAATTTGTGCCCATATAAATTTATAATGAAAAATATTACTGACAATTTGTATACCACACCGATCTTTATTTTATTCAAGGGCAGTGAAATTTTTGGATAAATTACTAAATTTGATTCATTTGAACAAATTATTTGATTTCAGGGTAGAAAAAACCCATAAATGACAGACATTAAAGAGAATTCTCAAACCAAGCTACATATAGGAACATTTCAACAAAACAAATAAATAAAATTCTCAAGGTTCAGCCATGGAAAAAACAGTTTCACAATCAGCAGAGGTACCAGACATCATTTAAAGCCACATCAGAATACAACATTTTTAAATCATAACTTACGATCAGCCAATTCTATACTTTGTTGAATTATCAGTTGATTGACATCATGCAAAAAATCGAGTCCAGACAAAGGAGCAAACGTTCGGTTCAAATTTTGATCGATCAAAGAGACGGGTATGGGTCTCCTGGGCCCAGGAAATCCTGAAAATTCCTAATATATACACCTTGCCCCAAAAATAATGTTTTACTTACCGGCACTAGTTGGTTGGTTAGTTACTGGTTCAGTGAAGGTTGAAAATTCTGAAAAACAAGATTACATTAACATAGTTAAAGTTGTAGTTGAATAATTGATTGTTACATTTATTTTTCATCAATTGAGATTTTTCAAAAATTATGGAAAAAATTCAAACTAGCACACAAACTAAATAAAATCGTGACAGTTACTAAAAAAGTTCCTAGAAACAGCAGCTGAAATATATCACAAGTCACATTTGGGTTAGAAATCCGGACGATCCTGAATTCATCAAAAGCTTTCGCACATTTGAGACTTGGGAAAGTCTCAACAAGTAGCGGTTTTAAACCGTCCTAGAATCATCCCAACTGCCAACCCGAATACTCCTACAATCCAGTAACATATTCTATTAGTTAGAATTGATAATGAACGTGTTCATTAATCCTGCAATCTGTTTTGTTGTATGTTGGCCGTGCAAGGTGGCTGCTGTCTGTAACCATTAGTGTCACTGAAACCAGAAGTAAATATATGTTGAAAGGATGGCCGAGTTAGGCACTAATCCCTCACAACGATCAAAATGTTCCTTTAGCCGTTCCACAGAACGACCGCGGTCGTTGTGGTCGTGGCGAAACGTCACTCATGACGTCATTATCTTTGCCCACGGCAAGCTCACAACGATCTATCTGAAGAGGTGGGTCAAAGTGGATGTTAAGAATATTTTGGCGCAATTTTTGAAATAGGACATTCAAAGCTTGAGATGACGACAAGAAAAATCACCTTATTCGATTCAGAAGAAGAAATTCCAGTGGGAGTTCTTGTTTCTAAAGCCGATGCTGCTCGTGCGGAAACAGGTATGCAATTAGACAAAACAATTTCAAAATCTGCATTGTAATATGTGATAGAAAATCATACACCTAAAATGACTTTTGAAATCTTCATCTGAATAACGATTTATCACATTCTCATATTCAATAATACGTGGTCTATGTTTGCGGTATTCACCATTGAAATATTGTAAAGTTGCATTCCACTCTTCATTTGAACTAGGTTCTGGAGCACTATTGCGGCCCATCTACAAATATCTAATTACCGTAAAAGACATTGTGATTACATTCAAACTCAAATTGTTTGATATCTTCACTGAAACTATATATATATATATATATATAAAAATTAAATTATATTTCTGCTTTATTTTTTCAACAACGCTATTTGTAATGTTTACATGAACGCCCAAAACGCTCCATAATCCATTCCACTTTACTCGCAAGCAAGTGGAACGGGAATTACTACGGTCGTGAGCGTAATCGTTGTGAACGCTTAGCGGAACGCACTATAAAAAAACTTTAAGATATCAAATATCAACATCTTTTTTTTTGCAATAAAATAGAGTGTCTTTTATTTTTCAGTCTTTTTTTGGCAGGAATATATACATGTATTCATTGAATGCCATTAGACAGTGTCATGACAGTGGTTAGCTGAGAAAGAACGATAAGTATTTTTTGCATTGATTTATATATAGTGTTACAAACACAAAAGTGTATTTTGATTTAATTAATTCATCCTTCGTACAATTCGATGAGTATTATTTCATTATTAATGAGGAATAAATATAATTAAACACTGTCACGTCTCTATTTCTTACTGGCCCCCGATAAAAAACCACTTGATCTCTATATCTCACCTATTTCTTACTCGACATTACAGAATAGATAGAAAAAAGATGGGTTTCCGGAATTATTATTCAGATCAAATTCAGTGTTACAATAGAGTTGTTGATGCTGTGCTGAAATTATTTATTAGGACTGCACCAATACTGAAATATGACAGAACTCGTGTAGAGCCAGTGCGATATAGGTCACCACTCACTAGATACTGGTTTTGCTAATGAAAAACGCCTCTACGTAGATTTTAACTGAACGGCGAAACTATCCACAATCTAGGAGTCATTCAGGTTTCTAGATGATTTTATTCACCGCATCTTATGAAATTTCCAAAAGAAATCTAAGGATTTGCTGGACGTCTTGCTCCACATAATTCATAAAACAAGAGGCAAATTTGTGAATTTGACTCTTCTCCACATGAAAATAAGTATACCTATCGTATAAAAAACAATCCCTCATTATGATAACGTAATTAAAAATTTTATCGATATTTTGGATGTCTTTTCTCAGTGATTATTATTCACGATCTATAAATCTATGTGATGTTATTCCATTCAGTTTAGTTTTTCAAATAGCCAGAACTGCTATCTGACTATTTTAAAATATAATGTTGTTTTTGTCAGTTAAACATTTGTCGAACTACAAACTAAATTACTCATTGGTAACTAATATAACGATAATAGTAATAACCAATTTAATCTACTGCACCTATTACTATTGCCGACTGTTTTGAAAACTATTATCATTTCGATATTCGGATGATAACGGGAAGTTAATAATCCATAGAATTTTTAGATGTTTTGTCATTTCGACGTGTACGGTTTTGTTGGAGGGGGGCATTACACAACCTCCCTTCTCGGACCGCATCTGTATTTCCATATTTATTAGAGCAGGTAACCAGGGTTTATTGATCAAATTTTTTTCTATTCTATTGAAATTGTCTTTAGCCGACAGAATATCATATTTTCTTGTAAACAACAAACCAATCTATTCATGGTTCCAAATTATACATGCACACTTCCAAAAGTGTAGGATATATGATATACAACAAGAGATCGTACTTGAGTTCATTTGTCTGCTTCATAAGTTTTTATGTCAAATCTTTTGAGTAAGTCGCTCTTTCTCTCGGTATTCTTGCCAATAAACATAAAAATGTCCTTCATGATTTTCTATATGACAGAAAATTTAAAAAGTTCACCTCTATTGAGAAAAGATCTAGCCTTTTTGATTCCGGACGGAACTGATTTCAGTATAAAAAACCACTTTCAAAGAAACGTTAAAAAAATCAATTGATAGTCCCCAATCAAATGAGACGAGATCCTATGAGGCCCATTTTATCAACCTCGAGTGATATCTAAAGATATCGACTCGAGGTTATTCTGAATAGTTTATCAAATTTCAAAATCACAATAACCTCAACTATCGAAGTCCGTGATGAATATAATGGAATATACAACTCTGACAATACCGCCAGAGTTTGATCTCATTGGTCTATCTCAAGGCGACATACTGAAATCTTTATTTTAATTATTATGATTCTTCCCGAGTGGTTCAGAATTGAAATTATAATGTTTTATCATCAGAATCAATCCAACTCGACATAACTATGTTTAGTTTGGGAAAAATTATTTCGATTTCCTGATAGAATTCTTCTTGTGAAGTATTATTGGGCCTAGGACATTTCTGGTTGATTGAAACAAAAACACGATTAATGCCTGAAATGCTGATATCTATAAATATATGTATGCTTTTATGTCAACTTAATAAATGATCAATATCTTGTTAAACAGCTCATTTAGTATTTCCATTTATGTTTCTATTTATCAAAATGAAGTAATTTTTCGGAACTAGCTCACCTTCCATATTGCTATACAAATTAATTTCATGTTGCATTTTACTACACTATTTGACAGACAAATTATATGAAACGATATTTAGCTACACTTTACAGTCACTAAACTGTTGTTTTTTATCCTCCCGTAATCACAAATTATCTAATCTATAGATTAAGTTGGTGTTGTGCTATGTTCCAGATCAGTTATCTTTATCCATTTTTGTTTGATCTGTGAACGAGTTGATTTACAATGGTTTCATATACTGACCACTTTCCAGGGCTTTCGGATATTAATATTATGATTTATGAAATATAAATGATAATGACAAGCATGTTATGAGCTCATTTTATGCTTCTCAATGTAAGAGGACACCCAAATCGTCCAGCAATGAATTGTCGGACTCAATCGATGAAGTTCCCTTTGCAGAAACAACTAATTCATATTTGCATTTACATGGTTGTTTAATACAAAATGCCTGCATCGCGAAGAGTTAGATCAAAATCACCCTAATCTTTGGATACGACGATGTTGTAGATTATTTAGATGGCCACCTAGATTATCTGGCCTAAATCCATTCGATTAGTTCTATAAGTTATTTCAAACAAATTGTCTATAGATCATGACCAGGAATCGAGTGAAACTGTGCACAATAATTCAGTAAAATTATCCTGCAATTGAAGAAAGTTTCATATATTACCTAACTGAGATCTGGAAAAAAATCAGCTTGGGTGACAAACAGTGAGGACATGCATCAATTTTCTCTACGAAGCATGCCAAATAGAACAGGCGTACGGTGTTGTCGTGGGGCTAACGTTTTGACATTTTAGATACTCAGGATATGTTGGGTCTTGTGTATTAAGCCGGAATTGAGTGCTGCCGTCGCTTTCTATCTGTCTTGCACTTTAAACTGTCTCTTATAGTCAATTATAGTACACGCAACGCTAATTGTATACGTTTGCCATTCTCTCGCTTATCACTGGGACAGAATTCATATATGTATCAGGGAATTATTTGCTATAATCACACAGTCACACTAATGGGTGAAATTGAGAGCTTTAAATTATTGAAATCAAAATTGTTTGATCTTTTATGTTCAAATGCCTTTTATTCAATGGACGAGTTCTTAGCATTCTGTTCATAGTATATATAAATTGGTATAGGGTNATATTCTTAAAATATATCAAAGGTTCGCCAGGAGCACTTCCAGGGAATATTCTCCAGAAGATATATATATCCATGGCATATTCATAGCATAATACAATATCCTTAAATGTATATTCATGAAATATACCTGGAATATCTATTGCTATGTGGGTTCGCGCCTAGGCGAATGAAAGCTGACGAACGATACGGGCCAAGTGGACGCGGTCCCCTGCCAATCCATGTATTTGAATCGTTTGTGCGAATTCTGACGAATTGATTTCGCAACTTATCGCAACTTTCCGCTCCCAGTGAACGAGAGGCCTAATATATATTGAAATGAATGAAATGTGTCTTTTCCCAATCGAAAATGAGAAAAGTGGTGGTCAACGTCGATTTAAAGTTCATGCCACAAATGAGAAAATTTACCGAACTCGGTTCTTTTTGCGTAAATAGGATTCACCCACAAATTTTCCGCCTTCGTTGATATCGCCTGTGCCTTATAAGACGATGAATCAAAAGTGATAATTCCAAAGCGAAAAATTCCAAACCCGTTTCAAAGAACCATCTCACCTACTACGAATCCGGACGAATACTGAGCAATGGCCGATGTGCATCGCACGATTTCGTACAAACGGCCGGCGTACGCACGAATTCGTTGCTTCGCAGTTTGCATCTTTCCACTCCCAGTGGACGAGAGGCCTAAGAAGGTGAATATGGCAGAACTGGACACCCTAATACCAGGGTGAATTCTCGGTTAATTTGCTGAGTTGAGCTATTTTCGGCCAATTTTTCTCCACGAGATCAAATTCAACCAAAGCGCTGCCGAAACAGCCCGAAACATTATTTAGGCATTTGGCAATGATAGTGTTAATGAACGTACTGTTCTGAGAGCACTGGTTTGCGAAATTATGTTTCAGAAATTTTAGCCTAGCAGATGAGCCCTGAAATGGTCGAGGATTTGAGAACCTTGGTAGAGACTGACCTATCACGAACGGTGCGTGGGATGGCGGTAGAATTGGGCGTCAGCCCAGTGTTTAAACGTAAAATGCCCACGGGCCGTATTTTTGACACGTCTGGTTTAAAACGTCTTGGAAAGGTAAACAGCTCGACTAATGAATGACCCACGAATTGGGGGAACGACAGAAATTGTCACGTTTCTGGGTCTGTTCCTCTTTGCTTTTGCGCAACCAAAACGATCATTTTTTGGATCGGATCCTCAGGTGTGATGAAAAGTGTTATAGAGAATAACAGCAGAAGACGTTCAGGACAGTGGTTAGACACCGATGAGCTCCCCAGGCACTTCCCAAAGGCGATAATCCACCAAAAAAAGACCATGGCTAATGTATGGTAGTCAGCGACTGGTGTGATTCAGTATAAATGTCTGCAACCGGGCCAAACAGTCACAGTAGAGTCCTATTGCGAGGAAATCGATGAAATGTACCGAGAATTGCGTCAGCAGTAGCCGGCACTGGTCAACAGAAGAGGTCCAATACTGCTCCACAACAACGCCCGTCCGTACGTTTCACAAATAATCGTACGAAAATCAAAAGAATTGAGCGTTGAAGTTCTGCCTCACCCACCATACTCCCCAGACCTATCGCCAACCGACTACCATCTTTTTAAGCACTTAGATAACTTTGTTACTAGTAGAAGATTCGCCAATCAGGAGCAGGCAGAAACGGCCTCTGTCGACTTTATTGAATCCCCAGCACGCAATTTTTATGCTTACTGAATTAATCGACTTGTGTTATGTTGGCCAAAGTGAACTGATTCAAATGGCTCTTATTTTGATTGAATTGAATAAGTATTCACTGAGATTTTACAGTTTAAAGTAGACTCATAAAAACGAACAGAACTATTGAAATAAATTAATAGAATATGATTTAATATTATAGAGTATCGATTCGGAAGAAATTTTATAGACGTGATTAGACGAGTTGGTCACAAGCAAATTAACTATTGAACAAAATTACTCTGACAATAGGTCGAATATACCAACAATAATTATTTTCATGGCAACCATGTGAAAATTGATAAAGTTATCAGTTAACTGGAGTATTTTTTTCTCAATGATCAAATATCTCTGAAACCGTTCGTTTTAATTAAAATATATTGGAGTTCTCTTCAGGTCACTACAATGAAAATAAAATAGAAAAGAACTTGAAGAATGAACAACACTCACAAGTAAGTAGAGTTCATAACGTTTTGAAATGAATTATTATACGAAAAATTTTATATCGAATAAATACGTACTGTTGCGATATTCGTTCAAAACGAATATGGCAATGGGATTTAATGTAAGACTAGCTTTTGCTGAATATCAATCCCACATAAATGTTGTGTAACGTGTGTGAGACTCCTATTAGATTGGGCTAAACAAGAACCTAGACATTTGCCATTTGGTATACCAATGATTTGGATGGAATCAAAAGATCATGTAAGTGATTGTTATTTTTGTTTGACTGAAACGAAAGGCATTACAACAAAGTCCAAACATACTCTCCAGTATCCAAACTTGTCTTCGGCCTTCAGACCCATCCTACAGATCCGTAGCGAAAAGAAAAACCAGAGGGACAGGAAATCCAAAATTTCCCAACCTCACTAGCAAAATTTCCCAACTCTAGAAAAAAATGAAAGCAGAGGGAATAGTTACTACTATAATATATTTATTTTCTTACTTAGCTATTCAAAGATTGGCTGAATGCTTATACCCGTTAGGGTATGCACAAACAAAAATAAATTTTGGTGATTATCAAAATAATAATGGGAATTATTCTACTTTGGACCAAGGTTCTTGGTCTTTCACCATATCCACCATGTATAGGAATACTCAATACAAATGAAAGGAAACAACACTTAAATAATATTGTGCTTATTGTTTTCAACTATTACTTTTTCTATCTTCACGGCCTGAAATTTCCCAACTTCTCCAAGTCGAAAAACCAGCGAAAAGTTGGGAATTTTGTAAAATTGTCATTTCAAAATTTGTGAACAACTCCCAACCTTCTCCTGGTTCTTTTCCTTATCTTATTGCTTCTCCCTTTCTTTTCTCTCATTTTTATTAATTTTTTTCTATCTTCACGGTCCAAAATTTTCCAACTTTTTCCCAAGTCAAAAAAGCAGAAGGGGAGGCTCCCCCACCCACCCCCAATGGCGACGGCCCTGCCATCCTACATAGTGCCGAAGCCTCCAAATCGACCAGAAAGTCGGGATTCCAGTCCGGAACTTGTTCTGAGTTCGCATGAGAAATATGAAGATAGTGACCGAAGTTATGAACCGCAAACTTCAAAAGAACCGCACTTATTGACACAAAGTGATTAAAACGATTCATTACGTGACTTGAATCTGTCTAAAAACAGGCCGAGCTTTTGTGGTTCACATTAAACGACTGTAATTTACTTTCTCCTGATACGAAAGTTTTTTATTTTCGACATCGTGACGATCAAATAAAACCTTACTTCTCTTAAGCAAATGATTTAGTTTATTGTAATAAATTTTCCATTGTGATGAATTTATTAAATTTTGAATATGATCCAAGTCACTGGCGAATGTTTATTGACTCCTCAAAAACTAGTTTGAAAGCAGTGTTGCTGCATAACGGAAACGAACTTCCTTCAGTGCCGGTTGCTCATGGTTCTGATATGAAAGAGACTTACGAAAATATGAGATTTGTGACGATTTTAAAGTTATTTCACTGTCGCTTGGAATACAGCTTGGTTACAAAAATATTTAAAATGAATCCTTTAGTGAATCCTGATGACATAAAAATTACAAAGACTTAATACATGTACTTATAATGCCATATTAAGCTTTGAGGTATAATATGTCCTTGAAAATACATCTTTTGGACTCTCATCTGGATTTTCCCGAAAATTTGGGTGCTGTGAGTGACGAACTAGGAGGGAGGTTCCATCAGGACATTTCTTTAATGGAGAAGAGTTATCAAGGGAAATGGAGTCTAGGAATTATTGTTGGAGACTTAGAAGGGGGACCTACCAGAAGCCGAATATTCACGAAAACTATAAGTATTCATTGTACAATAAGTAATAATTTCTCTAAGTGTAGTTGATTTTTGTATTTTTTACGACAATACATGTCAAAAAAATATGATGTGCCAATTATTTTCATTGATACATTATTGGTTCGTGGACCTAGTAAATTCAAAATTTCAGACAAGTTTTCATGTGACAGAAAATAATTAAAATTTTGTTGGCCAGTGTTAATATTTTTTCAAAATAGAGACACACTGTAAAAAAGAATCTCTCTAGATACTGGGATGATGGCTCAAGAATGAACTAAAATATCAAATTACACATACGAATGACTTGGAAAATAATGCACAACCTTTACATAATATCACGAGTAAATATTTTGAATGTCATGAAATTGCATCGTTCACAAGTTTTTTCAATTGCAAAAATTCGTTAGAAACAATTTCAAAATAACAATGTTACTTATCAGCGAGCAAATACATAATTCTCATGAAATGAAGGTGTGTTGTATGATGTCAAGGTGTGAATATATGAAGACGGTACAAAATTGGAAAAACATCAGTAATTAAATCAAATTAGGTTATTCACCAACTCTCCCAAAGTTTGATCTTTGTACTTAATTTTTATGGTATTTTTTCCACCCACAGCTAACTTGAAAGAGATCACAATCCATTAAATGTAGGTACATCAGTCATCTGGTTCAATAATTTTCCTGACTTAGAAGCACGGCAGAATCAGATCAATATTTGGTCAAATGGGAGAAAAATTGCAATGGTATTCCAAAATAAAACCCTGTGCATTTATTACGTTTATTAGAACCTTTAACAATACAAAATAGACACTAAAACCCAAATCCAACTACAAAAATATTAAGAAATTAGGTTTCCTTAGTGTGACTGCATTTTAGTCACTTCCTATGACAACTTGTATATGCATTCTTGAATCTCTCAAAATCCCTTCGAAAGTGATGAAATTTATCGAATACAAATAATAAATAAAAACTTTCATGTCTGGTTAGAAAGTTTTGAAACATTTGGGTAATAGATACATTTTTTTTCATCGAATAACAACGATTTTAAATACTTCTTCTTGAAGCTACATTTATCTATACATATAAGATTACAATGATGATAAGCGTCAAATATTTCATCAGTTGACAGATACATTAAATCAGAATCATGTTTTCAATATTAAGAGCATGAGTGTAAGTTTATGCTTTACAGACTTTTTGTGGAAAAAAGAGATGGCAATTTTGTCCATGTAATTTCAAATCAAATGAAAAAATATCTTTCCAGTTTAATGGCTCGAACGAAGTTATTAAACAACAATTTCAAAATTGGTGAACTACTGGAATTACAGTAGGTTACGAATGATAATGTGTTCATTGAAAGAAAAAACAGCTTTACCTTTATTTCACTTTCTAAAAAGTATTTTTTGTTGTAAACATATGAAGTTCAACTAGAAGTAAGGTTTCTTGGAAGATTTTTTTTAAACAGATCTATAATGACCAAAAACCATTATTTTTAACTTGCAGCAACTGGATATGACTCCAGTGACGGAAGACGATTTAGGATAAACTTTGAAGATATGGTCAAATGAAACACAATCTCATTGTACTTGTGTTGTGTATGTCGATCTACTCATCAGTATATCTATCACATTATTTTCTATCTGCAGCAGCTTAGGTGATAAGCTGATGAGTGTTCGGTGGCCTCAACAGATGTCTTACTAGGTACTTTTTTTCAATAGTGAGTTTATTAATTATTTTGAATCAATTTTTTGATGATGGAACAAAGTACTCTGCTCCTCTTCGTGAAGTCACCAACATTAGCGCTGTAGAACTGTTTTACCAATTGAGTTTGATTCTAAGTTTAGACAACGATATCACGTATTATAAGCATCCAAATGAACAAAGAATAACATCAACGTAATATTCTCATTGTTATTCGCTATCAACCACGAGGTATCTGACTTTCGAATCTATGGATCTCAAAATGATTCTGCATTAGGTGGAATTAGTCACACACATTTTGAGGCATACCTGATGGGTGGTAATCAGATCAGAAATGACATACTTTTATGCTGGAGAACCACAGAGTTTAGAATTAGGTCCTGTTTATGGTTTTGTTGCACTATTTAAGAGCTAAAATGATATGTTGAACGGAATATAAAATATGGCGACTTCGCATTACTTATGGATGACCACATCAACATCAGAAATGATTTCAATAGAATGAAGTTTTAATCCAAATATTAAATAACATGCAGTCATTAAAAATTGAATTGTTTTTATAGAGTATTTTCAAATTTGGTAAAAAATCACATGGCGATAGATTCTAGTAAACATTTACTGGACACCTACTGGACAACTACATTTATCGTGAGTTTATTTCCGGTATGGCATCAGTGTCTGGACAGGATAATTCGCAATTATTTAGTGCCGCCGTCTCCAAATGTGTGGACCGATTGACGTCTGCTAAATATCGAATAGAACGTTGGGCTTCTTTTTGGCATTGCATGTTTCCCTTGCACATATCATAAGCCTTCGCTAAAAATAGTGAGTTGCACTGTCGCGTTGGAGCGAACCAGCTGTTGTTACTCTATAAAACATCAATATTCGATATTAGTCCTGAAAGTTCAATAATAATAATTTTTATAATAATGAAAGAACTGTCTTTCAGAAATCAAAAATATATCTTTTGCACGATAAAACAATGTCTTATGTACCAGAGTGGTGTCCCGGAACCCGGCCTGACCTTGAGATGGCGGTAGTTGTTTGAAAAAAATAGTTTGAAATGGAAAGTACACAACGTATAAAGCATATATTGTAAGTTTGAAGACGCTGCGTTATTTGGTATTTGTTTGTCAACCATCAATAGCGAACATTTTCGGGAAATTTCCGAAAATGGAGAAAATTAGTTATCGTTATATGGTAGGTAGGTAGGTAGGTAGGTCTAAAGTGAGTGGGTCTATTCGACCCTCCACCGCAACCCATAAGGGTTTATTGTGGTTCACACCTATTCACACTCGACCAAATAAACCCAGCTTCTTAACGAAGCCGATTAGTTTGTATGGTGAGTGGTCTTTCAGGTCAGGTGGTGAGAGTACGGATCTGTCGAACTCAAAGAACCTGATTCGGTCCCCAGCGAGGCAGGCACAAAGTATATGCTCTGCAGTTTCATCATTTTCCAGACAGAGGCGACACACTGTCTTCTTACAGTTCAAGTCTCTGCATGTGATGATTCAAGTGACACTGACCTGTAAGAAGGCCTGTTAGACATCGTAGTTCATCCCTACTGTAGTCTAACAACTGCTTCGAAGGGTGAATAAACGCCTTGGAGTGAGCCAATCCTGGAAGATTCTGCCAGAACTCCATAACTCTTCTTGTCATCCAGGTGTTAAGTGTTTGTTTGGCAAAGCCCAAAGCGATGCCAATGACAGGTTCTGGTCCAATGAAGCCGCTTGCAGCACCCTCGTTTGTAAGAGAGTCAGCAGCTTCATTGCCTTCCAGGGCGTTTTCGAAAATGGAGAAAATTGGTCATCGTTTTGTGGTACAATACTTTTAATTGAAAGGCATCAGCCAATCAATATAAAACCTGAACTGTATTCTACTCTGGGTGAGTCTACTCCTTCATTTACAACAGTAAAATATTGGGTAGCGGAGTTCACATGAAGCCATACGAGCTGCCAAGACAAGCATCACAGTGGTCGACCAAATGAGGTGACGACTCCAGAAACGATAAAGAAAATCCACAAAGCGGTACTGAATGCGTCGAACAGTATATCCGAAAATTTGGACATGAGAAAGCTGTGTGCCAATTGGGTGCCGCGTTTGCTCATACTCTAGCAAAAACAGTGTTGTGAAGATGTTTCAATTGGGTGTTTAGCAAAATTTCACAGCAACAAAGCAGCATAAAGTGCTATAGGGCGAAGCGCGCCTTTGACCCGCTATTTATAAACACGCACCGCCAGCCCCCCCGGTCGGTACTGTCGCAACCGCTGTGCCCTTGCATTTTAAATCTGTAATATTTTCGAAAATATTCATTGAAATTACATGCTGTAATAGTATTTGTCAATAAATGTAAATACTTGGGTTATTTGTAAACAAATTTTCAATAATTTATTTGTTTTTTTCATTTCTTTGCATTTCTAAATATTCATCAGAAATGGAAAATTGAAATTTTCAAATTTCTTCCGCAAGAATATTAACTGAAACTTTTCCAGAGTAGCTTCAAACAACAAGTACCAATTTTTCATCCCTCAATAATAATGTTCAATGTGTTAAACTGTTAAAGAATTATTTTTGTTGCAGTGCCCGAAGAGAGCGTTGTGTGAATAAACTGGTTTTTATCCCGTTTTTATCCCGCATTTTCACCGCTTGATTGTAACAACAATTTCAGATATTCGCAAAAAATGAACCCCCTGTTTTGTTTAACTAAATTGTTTTTATCAAACTATTTGCTTTCGCAACTACGAATCGAATGACACCTCAATAATAATTTTCTCAAATTATGCGGAATGAAACTTTTGAACTAAAAGTATTCGTCTTTTGCGAGACTCCTATATTCACTTATTTCTGTATTGTGCTGTTACTATTATTTTCATTACTGTCTGTGAATATGGTTAGTAAAAGAAAATGGGATGTAGAGTACCTAATTACTTACACATAGAAGACACATCTCGTGCATGCTACATGCGCTTTTGAAAATGTGCCCATATTCTCCAACGACTGAGGCGACTTCATTGCAAGCACGCTCGATAACTGGGCACTCTTCTGAAAATTAAAATGCTCTGTTGACTAAACCAACTGATTGAATTGTTACACTTACCACTTCCAAAATGGCTCTCAATTACTTCATTCGGAGTCTTGTAGTTTTGCTCATGACAGTCTTCATCTCCATCAGCACATTTGATATTATTGTCAGCCTCTGATGTATCCTCGGTTTCTTTATCAACAACCTGTTTCCTGGGAACCGAAGTTCGTTTCTCCTCAGAAATCATGTACTCTTCAATTTCAGGACGTCTATTCTTCAGTCTTTCTCTCTCTTTTGCCACGCTCAATCTATATTCTCCTAAAGCATTTCTCATTTTCTCCAAGCTGTACGCCGCTGCAAGTCTAGAAATAATCCTATCTTTGATTTCTTGAATCTCACGTGGATCGGATTCTCCCTGATGAGCTCCAGTATACTTCAATGTATCGTCTACAATTTTGTCCTCCATTAGTTGAAGCCTAGAATCCATGTCATCAATTTTCTTATCCTCCATATCTTTGTTATTTCTGATTTCCTTTCCTTTTTTCAATGGCTCGTCGTGGTTTCGAAAAGAAGAGAGCGGGAGTTCAGCATTTCTTTTTTTGGTAGACATTACAATTGACTTGTGGTATCTTTCCATCAACCATTCTTTATCTAGGTCGTTGTTCGGCTCTGACTTCTTACGCCTGTCTAAACCAAAATAATCTGACCAATCTACGGATTTCTTTTTTATTTGTAAGGGTTTCTCGCTTACTGGCGCAACTGGAGTAAATTCTTCTTTATTGATGGATTTAGTCTTTTTTGTCTTTTCTTCTTTTGGTGCCTGTGTAGTTTTGACGTCTGTTTGGGAAATATCGGACTTCGCAGTGATTGGTTTCTCAGTAGTTTTGTTATCGTTAGCCCCAGAGAAAATACTACTAAGTTCTTTCTCAACTTTGGGATCAGTTTGTTTCTTCGTGGTAGATCTCTTATGTTCGTGATTCGCTTCCATCGCTGACATCTTATAGTCACTGCTTCGTTTGGTTACTGGAAATCTTTTAGCTTGAGAATACGGATACATTTGCATTTGTCTATGTATGTTATTCTCTTTTTGGTAGTAGCGCTTTCTCAAGTAGTTTGATGGATAGTCTTCATTTTCTTCAGAATCATAAATATCATCCCTATATGAATCATCATATCCTTCATTAGAAAACATATTTCTCTTTCTCAGTCCAACACTGTCCAATCCAAATCGGGGATACATGTAACGTTTTTCAACTTTTGAAGGGTACATTTTACTTCTCTCATACGGTCTTCGGTACTTGTCATAAAATTCCCTAAGTATTTCATCATAATCTTCATTCTCAACAGCATATCTTCCCCTATTCTCCATATTTGACATGAAATTTTCACCCATTTCTTCCAGTTGTTTCTGGTTGTCTTCTTCCAGTCGTTCACGGAACGCCGAAGATAGTCTCTTGTTCATTTCCGTGTCATAGTTTTCTTCGTCTAGATAATTCATGGGCGGCCTTTCATAGGACCTTTCTGAAAAAGCATTGCCGAAGGACGAGTATACTCATTATTTTTATTTATTTTACCTGAACCGTATCCGGGAGGGGATTTGAGAAAGGCGAGGTCTTCTGGACGTTCCAAAGTATATCCATATTCGATCTCATCGTAGTCGGCTAAGTTTCTTTGACGTCTATCAATGGCATTTAATGCACTCCGGAGAGAGTCGCCTTGACCGTGGGAGTATTCTAGAATGCCAATAATCAACAGGACCAATAATGCACCATGCATTGTTTCTCTTCTTGTATTCCTAAAAAAATCATCTATAATCTTTGGGGGTGAAACCAGAAAAAATAATTATTGGAATCAGCTTGTTAGATACATTGAGAAAATCTGATGTGAAGAAAATTATGATATGAATTCATAACATGGGACACTATACCATAGGAAAACAAGCTTATACGTAGAAGTTGAAGAGCTTGAAAAGTCGAAACATGTGAACCCAATTGAACAAGTTCAATCATTGGTTGCCGCTTGTATGAATTCTAAGACCGGAAGCTTGAAATTTGAAAATATGTTTATTTCAATTGCTGGCATTTCAAAAAAAACTCTGATAACTATCAACTATGATAACAACGAAATAATTGTATTTGACTTTTTGACGTGAAACGTAAAACCGATTGCAGGCCTGGCGACGAATGTCTTGGCGACGGGTAGCCATGCTCAAGCGACTGTGTCATTCTCTTTCCACTAGTTGTATACATAATCTGTGTTTTACTGAATAAATATATTTTTTTAAATAGTTGAAAATAAAATATGTCTGACAGTGATAATTTGGAAAGTGAAAGTGACCAGCTTCCTGTGAAGTCGGTTTGCTATCAGTGGTATCAAAAATCATGGAGGAAGCCGTAAACCACTATATCTTTAAATATTTGGAAGGCTTTAACATCTTGAGCGATCATCAATATGGCTTCCGGAAACAAAGAAAAACAGGCGTATGTCACCCATATTTGGAATAACGTAATCGAGAAACATGGAGTCAAGAGCTCTTGCGCTTGATATTTCTAAGACTTTTGACCTTTTGTGGCATGAGGGTTTGCTAGCCAAATTTCGATGCTATGGCTTGTCGGATCATTTTTGTGTATGGCTCTTCAGCTTCCTGAGAGAACGTTCCCTGCAAGTGGCCATCGATGGATATCTCTCGAATACTTTAACCATCAACGCTGGTGTTCCCCAGGGATCCATATTGTCTCCAACCCTCTTTTGATTGTATATCAACGACTTATTGGAAAAAACAGAAATCCAAAATATTGCTCTGCTGACCACAGCACCCTTGTCTCGTCATTCTATTCGGATTCCAGGACATCGGCTGCAGATGTACATCTTCACCGGCAGCAGGAGGTTACAAATGTTAATGAGGATCTAGATGTGTATATGAGAGAACACGCAGAAAGCGTGTTCGATAGAATCAGACCGCACAACAACTCAGCGCTACGCGATCTACACGATGCGTTAAACATGGATGACCCCAGATTCCGATACAGGGACAAACATCCAAGGCCGACCAAGCAGAACCAACGACCACCCCCCCACGAGTCGCCGTCAGGCGACTCAGGTAAGCATAAAATAATCATATAAACTCTCTTTCAGGTAGGTTCAACGCAGAACAATTCGACATCGACCGCGATTTACTTTTCCTTAGATTCACTGAGGAATGCTCGACGCCAATAACAGTAGCCGCCGGTTAGTCACGACAAAACAATTAACCGATCAGAAAGTATTAGCACCTAAAGGCTGACTTTCAACCAAAAGAGGTCAGATGTCAATCTTGCTGAAGTGCCCATCAGTAAGTTGAGGATCGCTCGGAGAGCGGGGGTGGATGGAGTGGAGTATTAAGTTTTCCTCGCAAAATTTATTTTGTGGGGCGAAGTTTTTACTTCAGGGCACTCTACCCGGGAGGGGGCATGGGGTGGGGAGGATCAAGAGGTGATTTCGAATTGGGGTGTAACCAGGTTCATTTCAATGCAACGAAAATTCAGGCATCGGATAAATGTTTCCGAATCGGATATAATAATGTCAGGTCAGACAATTCCGTTTTCTGCTTCTTCGATGTGTTTGTTGGGAGTTATAATGAACACCAATATATCTTGGCACAATCATGTCGCTGGAATTGCCAAAGCTGCTTCTGAGAAGCTTGGAACACTTCCGAACCAGAAAACTGTACACACCTCAACAACTTTTGATGCTTTATGAACCTCAGATCAGACCTTCTTTGGAGTATTGTTCTCATGTATGGAGCTCCGCCCCCAAGTATACCCTGAAGCTGCTGGATTCATCCAGAAAAGAGCCATAGGTCTTATCAGTGGTGCTTGTCTGAACTACAAATGCATTTCTGGACAAATTTAAGTAATTGAGGGCGTTGCCAACTTCCCTTACGACAATGCGCTCTATGGGATCGATCGCATGCATATGTGGTTCAGCCTAGCACCACTGATGAGACCTATGGCAGGTCGAATCATAAATGATTTGAAAGACAGAGGACGATTCTCGTCGGCGGTTGATGTCGAAGTTCGACTTCACAATTGACCGCCTTGGCAAAGAATACAAAGCCCATAAAAGCTCAGAAGTAGCATTTTCATGTCACCTAAAATTTTTAGTACTTACCCTGACCACCAGAGGGCGATGACAGTGTAATGTCAGTATTTATGCGATGTCAGTATCAACAGAATTGGGTAGCAAACAATCGCTGACAATCAGTCCGCCGGATTATATCGCCAAAATTAAATTACATATTTTTATTTGAAAATATTTATGTGGAGAATAGAAACAATGTTCGAGAAGGTGGTTATTTTATAGTGATTTTGAAATATTTGTCACTTGTTGTTGCCCGCGGCTTCACCCGTGTATAATTTGGTTTGTCACATTAAGTTTCGTGACAGACCATTTTAAACAAATAGTTACAATATTTTTTATTAACCCAAAACTTCAGGTTTTCAACTTTAAAACTGACAAAATTTACGCTATACAAAGAACCTACCTGCATGTTTCATATTTTTAGTTTGAAAATACAGTAATAAAAAAAATGCCAACTTCATTAAGTACTGAATAGTTTCGAGAATCAAATTATGTTACCTATAAAGGAATTTGCAACGCTAACACAACCATCAACGACGTCTACCCTTACGCGTCTGCCCGCGTTCGGGTTGCGTTCTCGGCGATAGCGCTTCATTGCTAAAGCCGCCCTTCTACCCCCGCGCATCGTCCCTCGCCATCTTACCGTAGACGCGACGCGTAGTGGCTCACTGCGTTGCGTCAAGTTAATCTTATCGTGATAATTATTAAACGATTCTTCCAAATTATTTAGTACAAAAGACAAAGTTTATCTATATTAAATACTTGAAACGACAGTTGTATCAATTTTTATGAGAATTTGACAGATATTCTATAAAATGTGCATTGTAAAGAAAGTAATTGTATGTATGGCTCAATATTTTGCATATACCGTATATGCCACTACCATATAAGAGAACTATTAAGACAAACAATCTTACGGTAGGTACATTATCTACATGTAACTCCAACGGTATAGGCAACGCAGGCCAAGATAGCTCTCAGGGAGTTTTTCCGACTTTATACTTATCGTTATATTATGACCAAAATTACACAAAACCTTCGTAAATTGTAGCATATATGTTATTCTGATATTCTAAATCCGTTCAGTCGTTTAGGCGAGAAATAGCCCGAAACATACATACATACATCCATCCTCACAAACTTTCACAATATATTAGTATAGATAGATTATGGATCTGAATTTGCAGTCTAAAGCTAGTGAGTTTTTTTCAGATATGGCCAACCTACGTAACACGAAAGCATCTGCCGTAGTAGTACGGGTAGTATAAGGTGCAGGCAAGAAAATGTCTGTATTTTCTGCCTTTTTCAATAAGTTTCTAGCAACTTTGGTATATATACCTTTATGAGGAGGTGGTAAAATGTTCAACCCTAGCTAATAATCTCATTGCTCGAATTTTCTGCACGGATATTTTTAAGGGATTGACAGAATTACCTCACAGAATCGTGCCATGGCTGATCACAGAATAAAAGAGTCCAAAAAACCTTTTTTGATATTCTTGTATGAAGAAAGTATATCTGTTTGAGGGGTCCAGTTCAGACGAAACCTCAAGCAACTTACAGTGAGTAGCTATCGTGGTCTGATTATTACTTGCGACTGTGTGATTTATTGATTAGTTGAAGGTTATTGGCAGAAAATCAATCCTCTGCTTCACTCGATAAGGTTTCAGCATTGTCAAGAAGACGTGAACCGTTGCTGATTGAACTTATGAAGGAAGTATCACCCGCAAAAAAAAATAACTTGGCATTTCGTCGGCATAATATAGATGATGAATAACAGGGGGCAAGAACAGAATCTTGCGGTACTCCTAGCTTCATGATTTCAAGATCTGATTCAAAACTGTTTTCAGGTGGACAAACCGTTGTCTACCTTCTACGTAGGACTCGTACAATTTCCACAGCGTGCTTCTTATGCCATAGCATGAAAGTTTTTCTAATAAAAGTTAATGAGAAACACAATCGAAAACATTTGAGAGATCACCCATAGTCAGTAATGAGTAACCATGTTCCTCCAAACCCTCAACAGCGTTTTCCAAATTACTCAGGAGAGCTTTCGTGACAATGCTGAAAAACAACATTCCCACCTTACCGTAATATAACTAATATCCCCGATTATTGTACTGTTATTCATACTTGGGTTACAAAAACTATCAATATCTAAAACGTAATAGTCAATTTTTTTTCTATAACGGTGCCATACTGGTGGCATTTCATTTTTGTAGAAGAGAAATTATATATCTAATGAACCCCCAAACGAAATGTTTCAAGTATTTTGATACTGGTAAATCATAAATCAAATTTTAAATATACTGGACATTGCACCATCTTCCAAATATTAACTATTTAACTGAAAGAGATAATATCCCAATGAAGTATTGAAATGTTACAACTTACTACCAAAATCTTCAATGATGTGAATTTCTACTACATGACCATTGATAAATTTTCATAGCTCCTATCCTGATTAGTGGGTCATTGTGCAACGTTATATGCTTTTTTATCTTGTGAACACCTGTAGTTTTTCACTGCATAATATTTTCAATTAATTATTTGTCAATTCGAGGTACCTGCAATGGTTTGAGTCACTGGCTTAAAATTTCATGAACATCTAATGCACTATTAGCAGACATTTTTTTGGAGATCAAAATCACTGAAACAAATTCAGTAATACTGTAGTTGATACAGTCAACTTAGATATTTCATACCAAGTTTCAACCAGAAAATTAACGATTGTTTCCGACTTTATAAAGACTGTTGCGTTGAATAATGTAAATTCACTAAAAAACAAATAATGAATATAATGGTAGTATTCATAAAATGTCTGATTTACTATAGTTTTTCTATATGCTACTTTCTTCTCTCGCTTATTCCAACCCTTGGTAAAATCATAGAAAAATTGGTAAAAATTAGGTTGATGAATTTCATATCTGCCAACAGAATCTTAAATCCTCAACAATTTGGCTTTCAATCCAAAAAGAGTACAGGGGATGCAATTTTCCATCTGCTAAAAAGACTTTACTCTGAGTTGAACCTGAAAAAGAAATGCGCAGCAGTCTTCTGTGTCTTGTCGAAAGCTTTCGATTGTGTGAACCATGAAATTCTGCTACGCAAACTCCAACACTATGGTTTCAGAAATCAAAGCCTTAATTGGATGAAATCATATCTGAGTCAACAAACCCAAGTTGTGAGAACTGACACGCTGTCAGATATTGTCTCTGTTAGACACGGAGTATCCCAAGGCTCGGTACTGGGGCCAGTATTGTTTTTGTTGTATTTTAATGATCTAGCTTATATTGATTCTGAGGGAACGTTCACAATTTTTGCAGATGATACAACCATCCTGTGGCATGACACTAATAAAAATGATCTTCAAAACAAAATAGCACAAGATATTCTTAAAGTGAGAGAGTGGTGCAACTCCAATCTGCTATCCTTCATTATAGAAAAAACCAATCTTATATCATTCAATTGCAACTTGTCAGGCATTCCGATGGGTAATGATATTATCAAACAAAAAACTAAATAAATTTCTTGGAATCAATCTGGACAGCAACCTCAATTTCAATAACCATATTAATTTGCTGCTTCGGGATGTTATGCTTTACGAACGGTGTCGAATGAATTGGGTATTGTAACTGCAAAAATTGTGTACCACGCTGTGGTTGAATCGCATCTAAGGTATGGCATATCATTCTGGGACACCTGCAACCAACAACACTTCAATACAGTCTTCATTCTCCAAAAGCATCCCATCCGATATCTGTGCAAAGTTGGGCCTAGAGAGTCTTGTAAACCTTTGTCCAAGGAGCAGAAATTACTAACACTTTCTTATTTATTCATACTCGAAACTGTGTGCCTAGTACATAAGAACAAATCATCTTACGATGTTGTTATTGGTTTCACTCGCCAAAGCGACAAATTAAGACTGCCTATTCCATCATCAAATTTGATTAAAAACTCATTGATCTATAATGCAGCTAAAATATACAACCATCTACCGACCAGTCTTAAAGATATCCAATCACCTTATCAGTTCAGGAAGTCTGTAAATCAAGTTCTCATTGACCAGATGTTTTATAGTGTTCAAGAGTACTTTGATAAAGATATGGATGGAATTCTGAAATAAAATTATTCCCTGTTCAAGCACTTCTTATGTTGATTTTGAAAGCTCCTGCAATTTTGAAAACAGTGTCTGTTTATCTTATTTATTTATATATTTTATCTATTGACTTCCTTATTTATCTGTTAATGTCTGACTATTCGTTCATTTAGGATGTATATAAATATGTATGTGTGTGGTATTTATGTGTGTTTATGTATGCATATTCATTCATTTATCTATAATTATTTTAGCTGTGCACTAAAAATCGTAACCATATTTCAATATGACACATACATTAAACCAATGTATATGTATAATGTATAGTTATTATAGTGAAACTCATTTATACATGATTAGCTTTGTCAACGAGTTTATACTTTGGACAATAAAGCATATTTGGTTTGATTTGATTCAGCATTATTAGAACAACCTTTAATTAATGTAATACAAATAATAACACACTTTGGATTCTCCAAAATTAAGGAAGGGAAAAAAATGTCTTTATGAGAACGATCAACTCATCTGGCTAATAAGGAAACATTTCGGTATTTTTGTCAGTAAAAAAATCCTCTCTCATTCACATTAGTATCGTATCACTATCACTATCCAAACTCTACATCGCAATTAATTTCATTCAGAGAAATGGACTGTAGTAATTTTTATCAACGTGAAAAGAAAAATGAGACTCCATCATAGTAACACAATATCAACCCAAACTTGAATTAATAAAATTGAAAAACAAAATAATTTGTAGTGAATAATAGCCGGAAGGGTTGAAAAGAATTTTCTCGTACAGGATTCAATCCTATTCCAACCAATCGTATTTGAAAACAAACGATTCATCTTGAAACAGAAGGATAGAAAATCAATAAAAGGTCGCCTAACCTGTTGAATCAAATTCGCATATTTGTCTAATCCAAACAACGCAATCAACACAACGAATCACTCATGCACATTTATCCTACACCGAGTTACAAAACAGTTCAGGACTTTCGGACATCCTTCTGGGTTCAAAACTATGCAGATTCACACAGAAATTGCGAACTATTTGAAAATGGCCTTATTCACTCCAATGCATGAAGTAAGTTGTGAATGATGAACGTAGGGCAGTAACTAACTGTTATGGAATTTGTGAAAATGCACTTACCCCTAAAAATTCATATATGATAGCAGGTATAAGTTGTTTTGCGGAATCACCAAATGAGTCTGGAGATTTCAACTGGCAGAATATTGCTCAGAATCGAAATAAAGGATTGTTTATTCCACCGCGCATGCTTTGTGAAACTGATCGATAACATCTATGTAGAAAAACAGCTAATTATTTTTTAATATGTCAGGGGCGGTTTTCCACAGAATTATGCCATTAATTCCGGATCAAGAAGCTTATGAATATTTGCTGCCACTCAGAGTTGTTGAAATGTTCGCTGAGTTGAGGAGATATATCAGTCCTGAAGGATTTTCGCTATTAAATTTTGATCACCAAGAAAAATAGCTTGAGGAATTGAAATTCATAAAACAATGAAAATAGTTGAAATTGAGAAATCTGAGAAGTTATAAAAAATAATTGGTTGAATATCTTTTCTAAGTTACATATGTTGTGTCCCAAAAAATATTGTCTTATTCAGTTTCGAGACAATTTTAGAAACAGGTCAATTTTAGTTTCGTATGCGACACATTGTCACAATTAATTAACCAACTTTCACAATGGAGAAGGAAGTCCACAACGAATTGCCATTCTTAGACGTATTGGTGAAGAGGACCGACCCTAGATGGGAAACATTTGGGAAGACTCTACTCGACCGTGCTTGCGGGCTCTGCAATACAAAGGAAGGTCTCGAAAAGGAACTAGGCATCCTCAAAAATGACCTTCAATGGAATGATTACTCCAAAGTCATGGTGAAACAGGCTTTAGCTAGAAGACAGCAAGAGCTCCATAAGGAAGAGAAGCCGCCACAACCAGTACTTGCAGTACTTTCCTACATCAGAGGATTGTCGAAAAGGTTAAGAAGGATTGGGTCCAAGTATAACATCAGAACCTGCTTCAGATCTGGGAACACTATCCGTAGCAGTCTCACGAAAACCATGCCACCAAACGTGGACTGCGATTCCAAGAATTGCATTTACCGGATATCCTGCGAGTGTGGAGAGTCCTACATCGGAGAAACTAAGAGGCCATTAAATGTTCGCATTGCCGACCACAAGAAACAGACGCAGCGAGGAGAAACCAGCAAATCCGGAATAGCAGAGCATGTTTAGACTCATCAACATAACCTCAAGTGGGCTCAAGCTGAAATCATCCATAAGGAGGAACACTGGCTTAGGAGAAAATTCAAAGAAGCCGCATATATGTTGTCCAACAACGCATTTAGCCAAGCTAGCGTAGAGATACGTAACATATGGAAACCTCTAATCAAGCGGAACACGGCCAACTCCCGCCAAACGGTCAGCTCCCGCTAAAAACCAATGAAGCGGAGAGAGGGAAGATCGTGAAGTAACTTGGTTTGGAATCTTTTAATTTTTTATTTTTAATTTTCATTTCTTGTCGATAATTTTTTTTAATTTTTCAGCTCGTGTTGATAGTTCAATTGTTTTGGTTTTTTGGTTGTTGCTTGTATGTTATTTTATTGTAATTCCAATTTTTTGCTTGATAATATTGTTTTTTTAGCTAATCTTTTTTAATTTTTTACACATTCTTTCAGGGATTTCAAATCAGTTTATATAATATTAGACAATGAAAGTCTGAACTGATGAAATGAATCAACCAACTGATTTCAAAAGGGGAAAGGAGAAAGGGGTCGAATAATAAGGTCTGTCGATAAACGACTGTCGTGATCGAAAGGAACTTGTAGTACCAAACGTTTCGTGTGCTACTGTGGCAGACATCATCAATAGTGTATATGCTTGATTGTGAGGATGAAGGTAATCTCGAAGTATCAGCAAGGTATGTAGAATAATTTGTTTATTGCTTTGTGCGTGTAGTATCCCAGAAGAAGAAAACATAACAAGATCTATAAACTGACAGATATTTTACATAAGATCAAAAGATGGGTTATAGTTTCTGTTGGAAAAATGAACTGCAATTTTGGAGTACCGTGATTTGGTTGAAATTTGCTACAATTATTCGAAGTAATAGAGCGATTATTTATCCCGAACTAGAACAGTGGAGTCTCAACGGGCACCACAGCAAACAATATCGACCAAAAAAAAGAACGCCACTAACTTTTTTCTAATTTTTCTGTATTTTCAGGAAACTGAAAATACATACACAGATTTTTAAACAGATCCATGGACAACATAAAATAAAAACCGAAAGTAAATAATACACAATTTCGATTTTAAAGTAAATGAGCAAAATGTCCACTTTCTGTTTAAAAAAATCGGTTTAAAATCTGTTTTTCCGTTAACCAGCTGTCGCACCCCTACGAACGACAACCCTTAGAAGTCGAAACTTGTGCAAGCTAAGGATTAACGAGGTCCTACCTTTTAACGTGTGATTCCTAACACGGGTTGGACGGTAGCAAGTGAAGATCGATCGTTCAGACTAGGGCTTGCACCACCGACCAACACGGCAGTCAATTCGAGTGAGTGAACAAAGCACACACGCCGAACCGCTTGGCTACCGATAAAATTGATTGTCTGACACGTTCAAAAATACCTGCAGCATTCCTTATAACATTTCGATTGGCAATTATTCGATTTCTCATGTCATTCACAAGCAGTACAGCAGTTTCATAAACAAGAGCCTTCAGATGACCCCATAAAAAGAAATCTAGAGGATTCATATCAGGATTGTGAGCTGGCCAATTTTGAGGTCCTGCACGTCCAATTCTGTGATTAGGTGATGTCGAGATTCTGACGAGCAAGAACACTAAAATGTCGTGCATAAACCACATGTTACCTCTTGCAAGTAACGGCACTTCTAACAAAATGTGTAAATGATCTCGTAAAAGTCCGTGTAGGATTCACCTGTTAATCTTGCTGGTAAAAAAATGGGCCAATCAGGTAGTCACCAGTAATTTCTACCTAAAAGTTCAGGGAAAATTGTTGCTGAAAATGACTTTCTCTAATAACATCTCGTAAAAAATTTGCTTCGTCCCTATATTTGTAAGGATATTTAGGATATTTTATAATTACCGTTTTTTTTTAACTTCAACGCCCTGTTATGTTCATTAGAACTTTTTTTCTTAAAAGGACCTAACGAATCACCCTCTGAAGTATTGTACCGTAGTTAGGAAACACCCCATGTATGTCGCTTATTTATGTATGTCAAACTTTTCAGGACTCAACACGTTATTTTCAAGAATACACTGCCTGAAATATCTTCATTAGGTCGTGAGTTTAGTTAAGAAATACTGAAAATGAAGTGAGTCCAAATCAGTTAGTATTATAGTCAGACTGGTCGTGGAAATTTTTTATATGAAGTTAGTTTTCTTTGACAAAAAGGGGCGATTGATTGAAGTGGGTATCTAAAGAACCAGATAGACTCAATGACCAGTCTGCATCCACATAATATTTGGGAAGTAGTTGAAGATCGGCTTCAGTATCCTAAGATACCTGCTAGTTCAACTGAAAAGGAATTGTCTGACTATCAGAGAAGCAGCTTTTCCCAGAAACACCGCAAGATGAAACCAGCCAGGACGAGTTTTAAGATGAATATCTTTCGAAAAGTAGATGTTGAAAGGTTCAACAGTTCTAAAGGGACCCTGCATCAATTGAGGAATAAAAAATCCTGAAGATTTTCAATCAACTTATTGGAACATTTAGTATTCCAGACGAATATAAACGCCACTCAGAAAGAAAAGACCTATAACTTTTGAAATGAAGGCATTCATCGGTATCGATCTATTCATGGGAATGAAACAACGTTTCAGTTATGAAAATGATGGTCTTCCAAAGAGCATATCAGAGACATTATCAGTACAATAATCGATTTCAAGGATAAGTGTAGTTCCAGACAGTATATCGGCATATACTGCCAATAAAGCAGCCCATAAAAAGAGGCTACACAATGTGGATTAGTGCAGGAAGTAAATCAAGCTTTGTTCATGGATTCCAGATATATACCGTGACAGTAGATAATTCAACAGAAAAAAACTCAGTAATCTCACAGTAGAAATTGTTGGTGAAACACCAAATCTGAAAAATTATGATATTTTGAAAAAGGAGATAACTGGTCAGGTAATTTAGGTTGAAAGTAACCAGAAAACAATCAATGCTTTTGTAACGAAAGAGATGCGTTATCCTGAAATGATTGCAAATATAATCAGTATATGGGATGGGCAAACAAATCTGATATGCTGTAGTCATTATACGAAGTCGACAAAAGCAAGAATTGGTGGCATAGGATTTTTCATATTCTGTTCGCTTGTGTGTGGTAAACTCGCATATGTATAATAATCAAACAGAGGTCACAAGGATCTACTATGGTTTTTGAAGAATTTTGTTTAGCTAGCGTAGCCTCTCTTGTTGGTTACTAAACAAGATGTGATTTCAACAACACATATGTGTGTTCGAACAACGATGAAGTCAGTCATCGTATATACCAGTCAGAGTATGGAACCAAAAAACTTCGCAAATTTTTCGGTTCAAAAAAAGAACGACATAGATCACGTCGGCTCTGTTCATAACGTAAAGTTGCTTCAAGCTTTTCTGAAAACAAGAATCGTTTTCAGCAATTACATTCTAAATAGAGCCTTCGATGACCGTGTTTAAAAAAAAAAATCTGTTTAAAATCTGTTTTTCCGTTAACCAGCTGTCGCACCCCTACGAACGACAACCCTCAGAAGTCGAAACTTGTGCGAGCTAAGGATTAACGAGGTCTTACCTTTTAACGTGTGATTCCTAACACGGGTTGGACGATAGCAAGTGAAGATCGATCGTTCAGACTAGGGCTTGAACCACCGACCAACACGGCAGTCAATTCGAGTGAGTGAACAAAGCACCCATGCCGAACCGCTTGGCTATCGACCGAAAAAAGTTCTATCGTGGTTCCTACGATAGAACTTTTTTTTTTCAAAAACTGTCATTAGTGTCATTATCACTTCTTTTGCATGATTATAATACTGAATAACCATTATTATTTGCATTTTCTATGCCTTTCATAATTTGGTCCTGAATGGGCTAAAATAATATGAGGCTATCTGTACTCAACAATTCAGGTTTGGGGGTAGAAAAATCTTATTGAATTCTCAATGATTGGGTCATTCTCAGACATACGGAATATATTATAACCTCCAAAACGACTGATATGAAGTCGTAGAGAGGTCAGACTCTATATTATAATCTTGAGACCTTGTGTTCTTGGGTTTTTACCCGATAATTCCTCGAATCTCGACTTTATCCTGGGGAGTGAAAAAATATCGAGGTTTGTCCAGAAATTGGCGAAGAATTGCAGCTGAATTTCCACTTAAAGAAAGGTGCACATCCATGTCACAATATAAACACTTTATTAAAGAAGGATTTTCCTGGTTCGAATAGAGACAATCTTCCTTCGGTAATATCAGCCAAGGAGACCCTGTCACCCTCTGAAAAGTGTTCCACTCCCCCGGTATAACAAGTATTACCTTTGAGAGTTCTTGCGACAGAATGAATTGTCAGAGTGCATTGGAGAATCATTTCATTATTTTTGAAAACTCTGTATCCAGCAACATCATGCTCGTCTAAATAATAGATCTGAAAAAAAGTATTCACTGATTTATTTTCAAATGGAAATGATATCTCACGAAAAAAACAACAAAGAAGAATAGCATCTCACTTTGAGATTTTTTGACTACGTATAAATAAATGTGATGTATTTACAATAAAATGATTCTAGCAACGAAAAAAAAAAGTTCATTTAACGAACTCCTATCTTCGTATAGCTATTTGTATGGCTTGGTTGACTTTTTTATTTTTGGGCACAGTTACAAATAATGTTTTTGGTGTATTTTGGATGGTACAAGTACACCCAATGTACAAACTAATGTCAATTTTTAGTCGGATCCGCATTTCATATTCAGCATTACTCAGGAATGCGAATACGATTTGATGGTCATTATTTTCGAGAGAATAGCTCGTGAATGATACTTCTACTTATTTTTATAGGACTTTGCTATTGTGCTTCCTTGAAATAAAAAGTTTAGGGTGTTTATTATAGGGGTATAGAACTTTGAAATGGAATAAAAAAAAGATGAATTTTTAAATTGACATGAAATTTACTTCATTCGAAAATAATCATCTGGGATCGTAATTCAAATATGACTAGTGGCATATGACCGCCACGGCTGGCTCAGGCGTAGTCTGTCTTTCTGTATCTGTAGAGTAGGGAGGGTAAGTGTTGGCCCACAGCACTTTGCCATATGTTACCCATTGTACATCCTACCAAGGAGTTGTCCTCCTAGGTCATCGTCAATTCTATTCTTTCCAGGAAGGTGGACAGGTCACTGGGAGACATCTCCTTTATATCGGCAGGTGTACGCCAAGACTCGCCGAACACACACTCTCTTATTGAGATTACTCCGGGCACTCGCATAGGACATGCCTCACAGTTTTATCTTCCTGTTCACACATCCTGCATAGAGTTGTCTCCATGTTGTGGAGGTGTTTCCTTAGTTGATAGTAGTCAGAAATCGCCAGATATTTCTCCGGCGCCAGCTTCCCAGGGTGGTCCTGGCAAGATTGCATCCTTTAATTTCATCCCATCTCTTTAGGGATTGAGCATGGGTGTAACATTTGGCTAGTTCCGCAATTGTCGAAGGCATCAGGCCGTATCTGCCACTGGGTACTAAAAATCTTAGTCCAGCCGCTTCCTTGGCTAAAGAGTCGGCAATGCGATTACCTTTACTCCTGTCGTGCCCTTTAACCCACCTCAGGATAATGTTATTATCTACCGATGCTTTGGCTAAATCTTGGTGACACTCTAGTACTAGCCCTGAGGTTATACGTTGTCTGTTCAAGGCTAATAGGGCTTGCAGATTGTTATGTTTTTGTCAGAAATTCCTTTCCTGGTTATTTCTTTTGTGGCGATTGAGATACCAGCCAGTTCTATTTGGAACACGCTGGAATTTTTCCCATTCCCCACTTAATCCTTAGGCTTAGTGATCTGGAGTACACTCCATATCCTGAGCCTTCTTTGGGTTTTGAGCCGTCTGTATACATGTGTACTGCATTTGTAGTATCTGTTTTATTTGTATTTTGTAGGGTTGATTAAACACAAACCTGGGTTCAATTGCATCATTGGTTGCCTGCAGCAGAGGTTGCGCAGTTAGCACTTCTCGCCATAGGCTCAGTCTCAATTGACCCATTCCTGCTTCGAGGTTTAAACCAGCCGTGCGCAATCGTAACATGGCCATTAACGCAACCTCCTTAACGTACAGGTCCAGAGGGGTCAGACCAATAATTAATTCCATTGCCCCGGTTGGTGTTGTTCTCATGGCTCATGTGATGTTTAAACAAGCTATTCGCTGTATTTTATATAATTTTTGGATAGCCGTTGCCTATAGAATTTTCGGTCCCCATGCAATGGTTCCGTACGTTAACATATAATCTGTTCTGTCTGTTTTTCCGATAATCAGCTGTCGCCCCCATATGAACGACATCTCTCAGAAGTTGAGAAACTTGTGCGAGCTTAGAAATAACGAGGTATTACCTTTTAACGTGTGATTCCTAACATAGGACTTATTATTGCAGTGAGGATCCAGGTGACCACACGGGATGAAAGACCCCATGCGCGTTCCACTGTCCTCCGACATTGCTTATAAGCCACATATGCTTTTTTTGCTCTACTTTGTAGGTAAGAGTTCCATGTTAGCTGCTTGTCGAGGATAGTACCAAGGTATTCACCTCTTCAGAGAAGTTCAGTTTGCTTTTAAAGACGTACTCTAATCTGGAGGTCCAATTTTCGATGACTTTTTCCAACATTTGTGGCCGTATATCGGCAATAACGCGGCAAATGGTGTCCTCCAAGTAGTCAATTAATTTGGGCGTTAAATCCCACGATTTCGGAGGCCCATTCACGGATCCGAAACGTGAAAATATGCGGTTACCAAACGTTTTCTTCAATAAATCAATTGTAGCACAAGTTGTGTGACATGTTGCGCCGTCTTGTTGAAACCACAGCTCCTGTCCATGATGGTTGTTCAATTGTAACGTGCTGACCAGCATCGATATGTACGCATTATACGACTTCTCTGTAGATGCGTATTATCATTTAGAATAAACGTGGTGTGAAAACATTCCATAGCTAAACGAAATAATTGCTCTGATGGACGATATTGTTGACCGTAAAGTGGACGTAGTGCGCGATACGTATTTCAAACTGAACCATAATTTTCAAAATAAATTTGCACAATTTGGAAGCGTTGTTCAGGCAATCTATTCATGTTGGAATGCCAAACCAAACCAAATATAAATCACCTGACAGCTAACAAAATGGCCGCCAGTTAAAAAAGTGTTGCCAACTTAAAGTTCTATATCTCTATAAACACACCCTTTAGAAAGCATAAAGTAGAAAAAATTGAAACATGCTCGCCTGTAGAAAAATTCACGTACCTGAGAGTAAACCAGATACAATCCAGATTCTTTAATAGTTACATATCCATCGTTGAAAAAGAAATGAGAGTCCATTTCCAAAGTTTCTACCCAACCACTAGATTTCCAGTCTGTAAACGTTCGTTGGTGGTGTCTAATATGCCCGTTGCCTACAAAAGTAATATCGAAAATTAACACAAGTGTGAGTCACGAAATAGAACAAAACATACCTAAATAATTCGGGTGTTGTCCGACCACATATTTGGAAGTATCTCCATTGTAGTGTATAGCGGGAAGTGGTTTGATCCTTCCTGTTCTGTAGTGTCCCTCGTCTAAGGTTTCCAAATTTGAACTTCGCTGCCTGTATCGCCGTCCTGCAAATCCTTCGTCACGTACAATTACGAAATCTGGCGATGAAGTAGCAATACTTTCCTAAAAAACATAATTTTAATTCAAATGTGTCTTGCATGCTATCAGATCGAGAGTTACAGTTCTTATTTTTATGGTTTTTGATGGCTCTCTATATATTATGACTTGTGATATACCCAAAGGTGCACTTAGTGGGGGCTAAAGTTCCGCTCGATATTTGAAAAATTCAGACGTTCATAAAATAATTATTTTTTATTTCCTGTTAGGTTTTTAAATTTTGTAACCGACTATTGAAATCATTTTCTGTTTTCGGGTTTCTTGGTCATGGTCTGCAGGTTTTTAGACCTGACGCTTCAACTGCAGCAGACATTATCAAAGGTCATGCGGCAATGGTCGAAGTTATCTACCTTGTGATTCAATTTGTGTATCTCAGACCCTTTAAACAAAATTCTAAGAGCGCCACCGCCGTATCCAATTTGAGAACAGTAGTTTCAGCGACTAAAACAGTGAAACAGGCATAAGGGTAACCTTATATTATGGAAATCCATAAATATGACTTCAGTAGAGCAGGAGAGACTCACAATGTTAATAATACGTGTTTAACTACCAAGTCTAATATGCAAATAATCACAACCAGAAGCAAGTAAACGTCAATTACAGGGATACGAACATAATCACAGATAGACTTGAAATCAGATTTTGAACTTCTAAAGATGCCAACTACCCGAATCACTCAATCATGGTCAAATGTAGGGTCTGTTCAAAAAATAAGGTAAATGTTCAAATTTCGCGGGCTTCATACATTCGATTAGCGATTGTTTAATTTTTTTATGTTGGTACACTCGTCCCGAATGTATGTTCACAGTTTCAGCTCTTTAGCAACAGGAACTGTTGAATGATGTCAACGGCGATCCAGATTTGTTTGAAAGGGTCATAACTGGTGACAAATCATGGGTATATGGTTGAAACATCGAAACCAAAGTACAATCGTTCCAATGGAAGAGCCGAGGAGAGCAAAGACCAAACAAGCACGCCAAGTTTGATCAAATGTCAAGGTTTTGCTCATCGTTTCCTTCGATTACCGTGACATAGTGCATCGGGAGTTTCTGCTATTAGCATGAAGTTATGCGCCGCTCACGAGAAGCAATACAAAAAAAACGTCCAGGATTGTGGAAAAATAATTGATGGCTTTTGCATCACAATGTTGCATCTGCTCACTCGTCATTACTTTTTCGTGATTTTTTGGCTAAAACAACACCGTATTCATGCCTCAGCCACTGTTTTCACCAGATTTGGCCCCCTGCGACTTTTTCCTGTTCCCAAAGTTGGAGAGACCATAAAAGGACGACGTTTTGCAACAAAAGAGGAGATACAGAAAAAAACTCAAGGACATACCAAAACGTGCTAATTTGAACTGTTTTGAGGATTGGAAAAAACATTGGTACAAGTGTATTATATCTGAGGGAGACTTCTTTGAAGGGGCGAATCAGAATTGATTCACCTTATTTTTCAACAGACCTCGTAAAAAAACAACCTCGATGTTTTTGAATCAATGTAAATTGTTCATTGTAACTGGATCTATAAGCAATTTCAGTTTCACAGTGTATAACATTGATCTTTTCTTTCAAAGTGAATTAATTTTTGGAAACTGATTCTTTGATATCAGGTTATGTTAGTGTGATCTCTTTGAGAACAGAGAAGTAGTTCAAATTCCCATGACACGGGTTTATGTAGCTTTTTCTTTTGTCTTTATCCTATTTGTTTCTTCCAAACTTCTCTGAGAAATCAGCCCCACCTCTCATTAGAGTTAGAGTTACTTGATTTTCCTTTATCACTTAAACTTTAAGATTGTTTGCAGTTCCCAGATACCTGGATATGTGGTAGCTAAAAGGGATCATTTGAAAAATTTGTGTGTCCGAGTATCTGTAGAATTCAGTTTTAGTTTAGAGATAGCAGTTTTTACCAAGAATTTGGAGAGTTTTGCTTTAACCTCTTTATCCATTAGCTTCAATGAATGTTTTTCATTGGCACATAATCTTCTGTGTGTATCTTTGAAGAAAACCCTGTATCTCGAAAGCAAAATGCTATTACATGTTCTATCCTTCATTTCGAAATCTATAGTTGTTTAGTAGTTTAGTATGAAAACGAATGAAAAACAGGAGTTCGTTTCAAAAAGTAATCGATTTAAATCCTCAAATGAATTTGGCATGCTGTTCAGTAATATAACTTAATGGCTGACATATTGCATGCACATTGCCTCGCTGAAAATAAACATGCGAAGTTTGTTGGGATCAACTTGAATATATGAAATTACTTGGGATTAGAAATGTTTCACAAAGATCTGAAATACTTTCTGTGGGCCGTTTAGTATACGACTACCAGTTGTGATTGATATTTTTTGTTAACACAGCGATTTTTCAGCGATTTCACAAAAATTAATAATTGAAAATACAAATCCCCTAGAGATGGAATGAAAAGAAAGATGATGAAAACACAAGCAACGTCATTAGCGACAAAACCATCAACGTCATCATGTTCTCACATGAGATGGAGAATCCCTTCTTGGAAAAGGCCAAAACAAGCATTGAAATCAATACAGATCAACTAAATGCCGATAATCCTAATCACAGGTTCAAACTGAATGAGATCATCTCAGAAGCCATGCAAAGATCCCAAACACGATTATACAAAATTGGGGACGAACTCGATCAATTCCAATGTTTATAGTGACGAAATTAATTTTCAAAGAAATGAAATATTTGCGGAAATGATTTGACGAAAATTGGCTTGAATGACCATAACAGTTGTTTTGAAGATACAATGACGAGTTGTATATGCCATATTCTTTGTTAAAACCTTAGGTTTTGGGACTGCATATGGGTCATGTATCACATATATGATTGCTGTAGCTGCAACTACAGATAATTATGAATATTTCGCCAGTACACGTGTGTGAAATGGAAGAAACTTCAAATAATAATTTCAAGATTCACCATCAAATATAATATCAGCTAATGTGTATGAACATATCACAGAGACAATCACTCTAGAATCCATGCTCGATGTTGAAACATTTCACTCGTACTAAATACGCTAATATTTCGAAATGCAGTTTTAATTGACCTCAAATTACCACCAAATTCGGAGGGAATGCGAATGGTATACTGATTAATTCCATATAGCTGAAGGGTATGGTATACTGATTGATTCCATATAGCTGAAGGAGATAGTTCGAAGTTACAAGATGCGCATGCGAAACGTCCAAATTTCCTATGACTCTGACGTATGAATCAGGCTGAATTTAACCGATGAAATGGGTATCTGCGACTTATGAAATACCCACAAAAAATACTCGAACGGGGTCAAATTGCACGATCTCGGTGGCCAGTTCACATCACATCCACGTGGGATGGCCAAGCTCTCAAATCGCTCGTACAGATTATCCAATGTCCTGTTGAAACCCCATGTTGTTGGTGTACAGATCATCCAATTCAGGTCAAAAGAAGTTGGAAATCACCAACCTGTAGTGTTCGCCGTTGCCAGTCATAGCCGGGCCAACGTCGTTCTCAAAGAAATATGGACCGATGACGCGGCCAGCCAAAAATCCTCACCAAACATTAAGTTTTTCGGAATGCATTGGATGGTCTTTGATCTCATGTGGATTGGTTTCGTTCCAAATTCGACAATGTTGTTTGTTCACGTACCATTCATCCAGAAATAAGCCTCACCGCTGAAGAGTTTTCGATGAAAATTAGGGTCAGTTGTCAACTGCTCCAGCGAGCACACGTCGTTGTCTATGGTCGTTTACCTTCAGTTCCTGGGTCAGTTGAATTTTGTATGGGTGCAGGCACAAATCACGACGCAGAATTTGCCAAATTGTGGTCTGCGAAAGGCCGAGTTCTTGTGAGCGATGCGAAATCGACTGCCTTCGATTCTCCTGTACAGTCTCACAGACAGTGGCAATGTTTTCAGTAGATCTTGCATTTCGTCGACGTACGGGTGTTGGTTGATCGTTAACTGAAGCAGTGGACTCAAATTTATCCACCGCTTTGCGAATAGTCCTCACGGTAGGACGGTTATGGCGACCGTAAAATGGGCGAAACGCGCGGTATGTTGCCCGAACATAACACTCATTTTAATTAAAAAAATCATTATTTGCACGTGTTGTTGAATGTTATATCGGTCTGTGGTAATTTGACAAAACAGGTTGAATAAAATGACTAATTTGTCAGATGTAGCTTCAGGTTCAGGTGTCCTCTCAATGGACAATAATCAGTGAATAGCCCTGTAATTGTTCGATTCTATTCAATTTCCACTTTTTTGAAGCAGTTCTTTCGTTTTCTTCTTAGGTTTTTCTGTGTCTGTTCTCGAGTAACTATATTTTTCCAGTATACTGTGTTTCTCTTAGACCCACATCCCAATATGGTTTCATATAAAAAATGTTGGTACCCTTGTAGCTGGTCCAAGTGATCCGTGTCTGGCACACTCATCAGTTGTGTCCTTATTGGATTCGTTTAGGTTCCCTTTGCGCGTTGTAATAGAGAATACGCGTACAGTTCAGCTTAGAAGACTGATGTGTATTGACCGAGTGGGTAACTGAAATGTTAATTTCTTCCCTCACAGTAAATTTCAGACCCCGTCTCATGTTCACTTTTTGTATAAAGAAGGAGAATAAGAAAACCTAAACCTTTCTTTCCCACAAATCAACCTCTCCCAAAAATATACCCTTTTTATTTTGAACAAAAAAACTATGTCAAACGCTAAGTCACCCCACTAACCTATCAACCGATACTCGACGAGTTTTTTCATTTGAAAATCGTTGCCGAGTCACATAAAATTACAAATGGGAATGGATAATAATTCAATTTGATCAAATTCAGTCGGAATGAGCCCAGATGGCAAGCTCAACCACCGCAAAAATAAAATGTCGTCCAAAGCCCTATTGGATTACATTGGGTTTCATCATTCATTGAATGTGACGAGCAGGTTCGGCCTGGCCGTAGAAATAATTGGAAAAGTGAATTTTGAATGAATCATAACTCTCAAAATTGTGGACGGATAGAGTCAGATAAAGTCAACAATATGATCAGTCGATTTCCTCTTTGAACAAAATAAGAGATCGAGCCCAATCTGTAGGTATTTCATCTTCAGTTATGAACAGACATTATGACAAAAAAGGAGTAATGATTTTAGTCACAATTAAAACTTTCGGTAGTCATCGGTTTCAATTTTGGAAATTGAAAATCTTGGCTTTCGCAGTCGTAGATGTATGCGAATGAGCCACAAAGCCAACATAACCCATGCCATCGGTCAAATTCACTCTGTTTTATGCGCCAGAGTCATGGAAAATTGGACGTTTCGGATGCGGTCTACCCAGAGGACCCGTGCCGGACATTTGAAAGATATTATATTCCACACATGATAACGAATAAAAAATCTCAATGATATCTCACACACACTTTATTTTCTTATTAGTCAGTGAGCTATGCTTGAAGACAGTAAACAAATGTTCAAGCCAGTCCCGGATATACCTTAACAGTAGGTTGAATGGACTGACGCCTATCAGAAGAAAACTACTCAGTGGCTAATACCACGAACGGAGTTGGATTATATCCGACAGGCGTCAATGCAGAAATCTTCACAGAAAATTTCCTGCATATGCAATTGTCAATACAACTGAGAGAGTCGACCTTCAATTTTGGAACGGGCACACTTGCAGGCCGGTTTCGGGCTCATGGAAGAACAACTCAGTAGCACTTGTGCTAACTAAGTTGAACTTCGCCTTTTGTTATGTCAGCAACTAGCTCTCTAATTTATTTAAATATTTGTATGTAACTACAGCTGGGTAACCAAAAAGACGATTATTATTATTATTATTATTTTCACCGTAGTGTGCGCTGGTCAGGCCCTATCCCCCGAAGCCCCGATACATTCGGGAGGGCGCGCCAGCATAATCAACCAATGACCACTCCCCACACCGTGGGGTAAGTGATCATTGGGTCCGAGAATCATGTGCCCTGAGCAAACGCAGTGAGCCAAGAATGACAGCCTTCTGCATCTGTGCGGCTAA